GTCCGCAGCGGAGCACTTGCCGCCGACGAGCCACTCCTTATCGGCGAGTTCGTCGTTCAGAACCTGCAACACCCGACGCGATTTCTTAACATAGCTAGCGCGGGCCTCGGGGTTGGGCTCGACGAAGGCGCAGTGGAAGACCGCTTGTAGGACTGGTCCTTGCGTCGTGGTTTGGAACTGGAGCCATTGCTTCATGTGGTATCGCTCTGGCAGGGTGGTGAAGCTGATGCGTTTCTCGGGGTCGTATTGATCGAGGATATAGTCCATGATGGCACCGGACTGTGAGGTTGGCAGCTGCTTGGGTACGGTCCAGCCCGTCAACGCTTACCTCGGCGAGTAGGAGACTTTTGTTGGGATCCTCAATGACGGGTGTCATGCCATTGCGGTTCAGCGCAAGGAAGGCCGGCTGCTTCAGCTCGGGAGTGGTGTAGATCTTGGTCGTATAGGGTACGTTGAGCTCGTCTAGGAGGAGAGATATCTTCCACGGGTTGGGTCCGGCTGCGATCGATCAGCAAAGCGGAGAACCATGAAGAGTCTGAAAGTAGAAAGTAGCTTACGATGACCATGAAGGGTTATTGGTTGGAGAGAAGACATTTTGCTCTGGTGGTCAACCTGCTGCGATGACTGGATATTAGATGATGGGCTCGATATAGTGTTTTACAAAAGAGATGCAAATGAGTGTTGCGTTGTCCCTTTCTCGTGGCCATATATACATATTGCTGGGCTCGATCAACAGGATTGGACCCCGGAAGCCGCGGGGGACTTAGGGCTGACCTCTGGAGTTAAGGATTGAAAGCTGGGACCAGTAAACACCGTATAAGACCGAGAGCCAATTGGAAACATGGCGGTGACAGTGATTACCTATCATTTTGTGCTCCTTTGCGACAACGGTCGAGGGTCGACAGAACAGTAGATGCCGCATAGGTGTAAAATTAAAGATGCTTCCAACGTCACGGCATGGCAATCGTCCCAAATGTCAAGATTCCTCATCACGCATGGAGAGGAAAACCAAAATCTTGAAACAAAAGGTACAAAGTCTAGTCCTCGAGCATTCCTAGTGCCGCCGAATGCCGACTTTGAGACGCAAGAGGCCGAGGTTCTGCTTGGCTGTGGCCTTGTCGGTCAGAATATGCAAAGGCACTGCTTACACGAAAAAAGAGACCAGGCTGAGCGAAGGATTCCCTCCGAATGCTGAATTCTATGTCCGCCAAGCTTGGTCCACCATTGCAGGAGCGGACTATGGCGCCCGAGCGAACCACGACCACGTCTTTGGGGTAACAGAAAGACGGAACATCTCGCCCGAGGACCTCTCCTTCGCGGACATCTCCCAACAACCCACGGCAGCAGACACCCCCGAAATCGATGCGCCTTCAGTCAACATATCCGTCCTCCACAACTCTCAAGCTCACCGCCACCGTCACGCCTGTCTCCGCATGACTCAACATCAACTGATAACATCCCGTCCACCCTTCTTGCGTCAACGCCAGCAATCTTCTCGAAAAATTCTCCACCAAATCCCACCCGAGCGGCTGCTCCTTGCAATAGAACATGATAACAAGGTTGTTGAAAGAGACCGTGAAGCCATTTCCAGAAGGTCCTTCGCGCCAGATGGTTTGCGAGTTGACGAGCATTGTGGAATAAAGATGACCTAGGGCCCAGGCCGCGGGCCTGATGAAGGTCTCCAGTCAGCCACACTCTTACTCAACGATACTGGAGTCATGGAACATGTTTCTGGAGTGCGGAAATTTCGAACATATGTCACAATGCCTAAAAACGTCCAGATAAAGGAGTTCGGGGTCAGACAAGTCTTACTGAATGGGGAGGAGGGAGCCAGCCCAGGAAGAGTAGTAGAGGTTCCAGCCGGAGCCGATGGAGAGGAAAGAGTGGTAGCCGCGCCGGGCTCGGGGCTGCAGAGTGTATGTGGAGGGTGAGGCGAGTCTGGGGGGGTGATGGGATCCGACCAACACTGAGGAGGTGGTCTGTAAGGCAGCTGACCGATGAGGGTGGCGCCCAACGCAGTCGACGAAAGAGAAGTAAGGAAGGGAGAAGGAGAGAGAGAGTAAACACATCAAAAGTGGTAGACGGTGCATGGCGAGCCAGTACCCCGAGGAGCTGGTGACGAGCGAACAATTACCTCCTCGATTAGCAAACGGGTAAACAATGAAACTTTGCCCCTGGATTCGTGGCCTCGATAGGTGCAGCGGGAGGGTCGGTGGGTCGTCGCCTCTTCGGCACAGCTGTCGAGGAGGCTGTGTCTTGGATCTGCGCGCTCTTGCATACTTTCGGTGGCGGGTGGCCTTTGCCGCCAGGAAACCCGCCCGTGCGTCCTATCCATGCGTCTGTAGTCAATAACCCCAAAACGGAAAGCACTTTATCACGTTAGATCATGAGAGCATTCGGGTTGAGGTGGCCAAATCTCTTATTTCATATAGCAGGTGATTACCGCAAGGGCCGCTCAAAAGCCAAACAGGACTGCTTGACAACTTCCATGGTGGCTTTCCGAAGAGAGTCTCCACTTCCGCCGCTCCACAGCAGCCAATTGACCTCTCGACCCATCATCAAGAAGGACGTTGAAGCAAACAGCTAGTCGCTTCCATGCAGACTTTTCTCTCGCCATCATCACCGCCGCTGCTAGCGATGAGATACTAATACAAAGGAAATATACGGATGAAGCCGTAGGACTATGTGTTTTCTCTCGTCTTTAGATTGGAGATGTCGTGTAGATATTGAAATCAGATGTGACTATCGGTGAAAGCGTAAATCGTTATTCCGTGCTCCCTCCTTCCGTAGGAGGCGGAAGCTCGCAAGAAAGGCGTGCGCAGGGTTGATTAAAACTGAGTACCTGGTGATCATGATCCGAAGACCTTATCACCGCAAATGGTTGGCCGACCCCAAGAATTTGGCAAGAAGTGGAGTAAAGACTGGTGCTGTGATAACGCCAAGCTCGCCGGCTGTCCTTGGGGGAAAGTTCTCTCAATGTGGCCGCAGTCTGTTGAAGAGTGGAAATTTCCCTTTGGTTTGCTGTCTCAATTTGGCTCCCTCGATCCCTTGAACCTCGGCGCTGAATGGTAGCTCACGCACTCAGATGGTTCTAGGAGAAGACTTATTGGTCCTCTCCACAAAATCATCCACGTGTCTACACATAGCAACAAAGAGGTCGAAAAAACTAGGAACAAGATGTCAGCTCAATTCTCCGTCTCCACCTTGAAGCCTTGAGCTCACAATTTACTCCCACCAAGCCCCATCTCCATCTGCATGGTAGGACTCCTAATGAACCTCTTACGGCCCTGAATTATCATCTCGATGAAAAAAGGGCGAAGGCGGTGATCCGTGTCCAAGGTGTTCGCATATGCGTACCGAGCTGATCGAATGAGAACATCGTCTAGGGCACAGAACCGGAGGCCTTGCTTGATAAGAGCAAGGCGCTTCAACTCCTCCAAGCCGAGTTTTTCGGCAGCGCAATATACGACGGTATCTGTGAGCAAATAGTTACCGTCCACCCCAGGATGATATATTGTGGATGGCACGCGTCCACGACCACCAGAGTTGAGCGTGTCCTGGGCATCCTCGAGCTCCCAGGAATGGTGGTGCTTGCTCTTACACAAGCGGGGATAGTAATCGTCCGTGTACAGGTATTCGAGTACGCAGGCGAAGATCTCGGGCAGCCTTTGGTATGTTAGTCCATCGACAGCTGTTCAATGCATGGGATATGTGATCTATACGTACATATCAGGCAGCTTCAGCCTCTTCGACGAGGTCTCATAGAACTGGTCTCTGAGACGCTTGGCGAAGTAGGGCGATTTGAGAAGGGCATGCTCATAGGCAGCGAATAACCGTAGGTCAGGGCCAACCACCAAGGTGATGATCGGACTGATCATGGTACTATAGCCATTCGAGAGTGTATTAGCCTTCTTGTCCCATTGCCAGTTGGGGCGCATGGTCATACCTCCCCACCATCGGGCTGTCTAGCTTCTGCTTCGTCTTCAACTTGGAACGCTCACCCACCGACCTCTTGAGCGGTTTGACCGTCTTGCTCACACGATTCCTGGAACGGAAGGAGAACATCTTGATCGAGACCGAATGGTGTGATTGCCGAGGATTGGTAGGATATCGCAAGAATGGAGAAAAGAATGACTGCTGACGTGCGAAAGAGAATATGCGAGTGCGGTGCTTAGGCTTGAATTGACGCTTCGCGCACACGCATTGTTTGAGACCTCCGGAAGCCTCCCAGGGGACAATCCTCTCTTCTCTTCCCGAAAGAAGATACTAGGAAGGATAGGGTCCCAAGGCGACTCTGCGCACGAGAATCTGTGAAGATTACTCGTGGTGGTGTATTCGGCCGGTCTTAGAGGAGAAGCGTGAGGGAGGAAGGAAAGGAAAGGAAAGATAAGATGGAGACTCGCGGAGCATGGCGGGCTAATGGTCATGTGATCGAGGAAGCCTAAGCCAATCATCATCAATGCTCGTAAGCTTGGTTTGTATGCACATCAAATGATGGGAACCTATCCAAGTCCAATTTTACACGCGAAGTTGTCGTCGTTCTTGCTGCCTGAATGCAGCTTGACGCAAATACTATACCGTATAATGCAGTCCACTTCCTTCTCGCCCCGCCGTGCTAACTATACTTAGCCTAGTCTTCTCGACAACGTTGCCATGGCGAGACTTCTCATACAAGATCAAGATTCGCTGATCACGGCTCGCTTTTCTGTATGGAGTAGTCACCAATGTAGAGCATCAATAGGGAAGTATTATCGAGCTTTGCATCCTGTCTCTGATCGATTGATTGATTGATTGCTTCCTTTTATTCCGAAAAGCAAGATGATCATCAATTAGAACTAATGTAGAGTACGATTGATACTAATCTAAGCGATGACATTCACCCTATTCTATTTGCGCACCCGATCTCAATCCAAACGATACGTTCAATTTCCTATCTATCTCCGCTGTATCTGCGTCGTCTGATGCTCCGTGTACCCTTTCCATCTTTGCTAAGATCCTCATCATGTTCGATATGATGCAGCACTAAAGGTCTGTGTCCGCATTGCTACCACGAAAGCGTCCTCGTCCAGGAATTTCTTAGGGTTCACGGGCTCAGGCTTTGGACTGGGTGGTACTTCTCGTCCACACTCGGGGCAACCAGGCCAGGTCGATGCCGAGTACTGATGGCCATGGACGCACTCTTCCAAGTTCCCAACCTTATGCACTGGCCAACTCCACCATATGCGCCTTGACCCTCGAGTGTACAGATTCCCCTGACGTCGCTCACCACTGAGCACCAGCTTGATTGCATTATAGGTCACAAGGAGCACTCCTGCAGTATCTGGGTAGGTCCGGCAAAGGCTGAGTGTCCGACACAAAGAACCTTCCACCTTCAAATTACTAGCTGCCCCAAGGTCTTTAAGTAGGATGTGGAAACACATCTGTATCAAACGGGTCTCGGCTTCGAGGCGTTTCAAGTTCTTGGTTTCGCATTCTGTGATGATGGTGTTCAAAGCTTTCATGTTGATGTTGGCCTCGTCTGTAGTCAACGCTTCTAAACCTTGGATCAGGACGGTAGTGTGCTCTGAATTATCACCCAGACTTCGTAGGGCGCCTAGCATCCTAAGGCTTTCTTCGACTATGATCAGTCTACTTCTGAAGAATAGCGTCTCGAAACGGAGTCGATAGCAAAGGTTGATATCCGGGAGATCGTCAACAAACACAGGAGAGATGCCTAGAAAGACTGCAAGCTTAGCTATGTCGTCTTCGAAGAGCTGCACGACTTGGTCTTTGAAGTCTCTGATGCTGCTTTGGATTTCCTCTAATGTGTTCCCGCGGTAGCGTACCAGGTCGGCGTTGCTTCTACCTGCCAGGGGTCCCGGCCTCAGTCTTTCACGAAAGTCATTGAAGGTCTTATCCAATTTTATCTTCCCGTCGTACAGTTGTTCCATGAACATATTCATCTTCCTACTAAGCTTGGTGTGCATCTGGTCGATATTCCCTTTGAAAGCTAGTAGCTGATGATGAAGAGCATACCGTCGGACTTTCTTGCAGCCTTTCCCACAAGTCGGACAGGCCGAAACCATGTTCGTCACTTGACATTTGGTATCACAATCAACCTTTTCAATATTTCCAGAGGTATCGAGGCGATAGATTTTAGTAAGGCCAAGGTGTCTGTCCAAAAACTCTACTTCGAAATGATGACCGCAAGGAAGGAACATATATGTCTTCTGGGAAAGATCATGGTATCTGCATACAGGACATCCTGCCGGACACATCTCGCCACAAAGGCTTGGACATAGATGCCGACATGGTAGATAAACCTTGGTGCAGGGCTCATTGCAAGGGAGACGATTGCAAGGCAGGCAGCACATCATGGAACATGAGCTTTTGTGAGGACAATCAGCCGGCCAGTCACATGATCTGACACATGGGTCACATATGTGGCTGCATGGTCGTGAACAGCTACCATGGCCGCAAGATCTTTTGCAAGGGAGCTGACAGGAAGGGCAATTGCTGCCGATATGACAATTCTCAGCACAACGGTGACCACATTTGAGTTCTTTGCCGCAGGGTGAGCTACACGGCGGATGTGATTTGTTGACAGTACATGTATGGCAACTGGCTCGGCAGGGGTGTCCACACTTTAACGGTTGATTGCACATCTCGTCACATTTCATGGGCTGATCCTTGGTCGAGCATACCGGCTGTTTTATATGTCCACAATCCAACCGGATGGGCTCCAAAAGGGTTTTGCAGATGATCTTGTCATCTTCTTGAGTTCCTCCGCAAGTCCGTACAGCCATGTGCCCGCAAAGTAACGTAACAGAGGAGAGTTCGGACCCGCAGTCTTCACAAGGCTCGCCGCACTTTTTTGTACACCGGTGACCGCAAGCCTCATGGTGCCTTAGGCAAGGTTGAGCACAGCTGATCCGATCATGGAGAGCTGGCGCGTGACAATTCAAGGTACAAGGGTGTCCACAAGGAAGTTTCGACCCACAAGGAACCTCACATTCCGGGATATCATACCACTGCTCCGGGCTCCGGACTTGGTAAACTTTGCCTGGATGTCTTGAACAGCATGCACGGAAAGCCGGTCCAATTCTTCGCTTGGCAGACAGATCCTTAGAAATATGACTCCACATTGGTACGGCACTCATCAGTGTCGCATTACCGACGATGTAGAAGCCATTCTTGGCACGGCTGCAGCCAACGTTAATACGATTCGGGGTTTTGAGAAACCCAACACGGCCCTCGAAGTTGCTCCTCACTGTGCTGAGGATGACGATTTTGGACTCTTCCCCCTGAAAATTGTCAATTGTAGCCAGTCTCAACATACTCGCGACGTTTATATCCGCTTTCCCCCCAAAAGAAGCTTCTTCTGGCTCCAATAAACCTTCCAGTAACAGGCTCTCCCGATCCTTCTCACTTAGCCACAGAGAACACGTTCCGTTGAGGCGGTGGGTAAAAGCAGCAAGCTGTCCGTTGTAGGGGGTCAGTATGGTGATATCCCGATAGTCATATTCATTACTGTTGATCAAATATTCAACCAGTCCGACTACCATCTCAACCTCGAAAGCATTGGAAAATGATTTGGCCATCGACGATCCGGGGTCTGGAGTGTCTTCTGGCATTCCGTGATCGAGCCACCATACCCGGTCCAACATGCCGGCAACTGGCTCACGAGAGCGCGCTACCTCATGGTCCTGCGATGCACGTGGTCAGATACTTCTACCAAGCTTTACAAAAGCTGCAGCGATCCACATACCTGCAAAAATGGATATAGTGTCGCGCGCATTAGATCGGCGATATCCGGGTGCATGCGCCGCTGCAAGTCCAGACGAGATGAGGCAATGGGCCGTACTCCGGGCGTTGATGGTACCATCATACGCTCCATCAAGGATTCATCTAAACGGTAAGAGGCCCCTATTGTCGTCTCTAAAGAAAGAGCTGGCTCGTTCACCTGGGGTCTGTAGGAAGTTAGTCGAGTGCGTAGTATGCTTATTCACCCTAATTCCTGCAATGTACCTGAGCTGCAATGGATCACCTATGAAGATAGCGTGTTTTATGGAAGGAAAAAGAGTGCACAGCGTCTGTGCCTCCATTACCTCTGCTGCTTCTTCGCAAATGACGGTCTGAATGTTCAATTGGTTCAGCATGGAAGAATTCATAGCGCAGGCTGTCATAGTCATCGCGATAACGTCCTCTGATATAGCTAATCAGCCAGAAAGTCATGCACTTTGCGCGGAATGTGCTTACGATCTTGAAGACACCGAGCATCAGTATCATGATGCACCTCATACCGTTTCGAGACAGCAACTTGATGGCGACGATGAACTTCAGCTGTTCGGTCAAGTATGGTCTGAGGATCAATCTCTTCTTTCCATTTGTTGAGAAGCCGCTGTCGCTCTTTAAGGCTCAATTTCCAAACGTTACAGCCAGACGAAGGATCCGAAGCCGCTGTATTTGCCGCATTTAGTGCTACATTGTCAAGCACTCTGTGTTTTGTTCGGAGATCGCCATCATCTGCGTCATCTTTAAATTCGTATTGATTGCCGAGCATACTGCTGAACTTGTCTAGGAGTCGATCGAGATCGTTGATGTCGCCTCCTTTGCCCCAAAACTCAAAGGCGAAACCTCCAGCTTTGCGAGCCAATCGAATATCTGCAAGCCTAGACGAGTCGACTCTCTCGAGCCCAGTGAAGCGTTCTAAGATTGCCGGATATTTTGATTTAAGAAGCTCTCGAACCGCTGGCCAGCTCAGTACGTCTGTGTTGAGGGACTCGCACCAACTTGTACCCTCAGTTGTTAAGCCTACGGTTGACGAAATTAGTTGCCTGAATATACCAGAAGGGAAGTGGAAACAGACCTTCTACCTGACGATGGGCCTGGCTCTCTCTGCTTCTCTCAAGGGTGGTCTTCTTGAGTTGACGTGCTGCTGCTCGTAAGCTGAATGCTTTGGTCCAACTCTCCTTACTGTTACCGCCTAGTCGGACGAGTTTTGTCACCCCTGCTTGTCGAATGTCGTTCAAAAAGCTATCAAGAGCGTGGTTGGTCGTGCACACTACTAGTATTGGTCTCCGCGAAACGTGGCTGCGCGATTCCAGGAGCACCTTGGTTAAGGCAACACCAAGAAAACTACGTGAAGTCAGCGGATGAAAAAAGAGGCGGTAGCCCAGAGAATACATACGTTTTGCCTGTCCCAGGCGGGCCCTGTGTAAAGGCAAAGCCTCGGCAAAGATTCTCGCAAAGAGCAGTAGCCTGGCCACGATCGAGTGTGGTCTCCTGGCACAGGTGATCAATGGCGATGGTCTTGGCTTCATTATCCGACACCAAGTCCCTTGGTCTTAGCGTAAGAGGGTTCGCATAGACATCGCCCTTTTTGCGAAGGCTGTTTAGCTGAAAAGCGAAGTCGTCCACGGTTGCATATTCGGGGACCAAGATTTCCGGGCTCGGGCCTGCAGTGGAAGGAGCTATAGATGTTATGAAAGCCAAGTCCTTATTGCTTGCTGACTTGTTTTGCAAATCTCTAAGTGTCCAGTAAAATCCAACATACAAGACGTTTGGTAATTCAACAAGGACAGATCTTTCTTGTCTAATGCCCTTTGAACTGTAAAGCAAGCGTCTCACCGCATCAGTATCGCTCGTGTCGGCAAGTGATAGAACCACGGAAGCTGGAAAGATGGGTATGGTCAGCGATTAGCCGCAGAAAAACCTTCAATGCAGGGCATTAAGGACTGACCTCTAAGATCATTACCAGTACGCGGCTTCATGGCGAACGTGGTTTGGCGCTGTTCAATTACCATGAATGTCGTAGACAAAGTTTCCGCATCATCAAGCCCAACTAGTGCGACGAGCATTCCTTCCTCGAGATGCTTCGATGGGCCTAAGCGTAGACCGCGCAATGCCTTGGGGCATGCAAAGCTGATCCTGAAAGTGACACCAACCTTGAAGCTCATAATTTGCTCCTCGAATACGATGTCGCGGAAGAGTGAATAGCGCACTCCCTTTGGAGTATTCATACGGTCATCGTAATCCAAGATATGAGGCGAAGATATCAATTGCGTCAACTGTTGGCTTGCGTGGTAGCAAGAATCTATGATCGGTTCAACATTGTCGAATCTTAATTGGCGAAACTGAACATCCAAGAGCCTCTGCTGCCCACAAGGAAGATGATGCTCAGTCGATGGATCTTTGGCGGGAATATAGGTTTTTCGCCGACACAATATCTCATCTGTAGTTGGTAAGATCTTGATATGTTGGATATTTACATGATCATTATTGTGCCTCGCGCCGTATCGTGACAATTGACCTGGACCATCCTGGTCAAATGGCAGGCTCTCTCGCGGCGAAAACCTGGGGTCAAGGGAAAGTAGGTTCGGAGGGCAGTCTAGGAAAGAAGATCCAGAGTTCTCATTAGGGGTTGCACAAATGTCGTGGCTCTTGGTGCATTCATATCCGCGGCGGCAAAACCCGTCGACAAAATCTTCGCACACCGAAGTAAGAGGGACTTGCGGAAGTCTGGAAGGTTGGAGCTTTGCTGCTCGAATAATCGTCCTGTTTGCCATGATGAGAGGAGCTGGAATACCTTTAGGTCAGTACGAGCAGCATGACTTTAGCTGGGTATGGTCTAGGATGCTTACATATTGCAGACTTGTTTAGGGGAACCCCGCAGATAGCTTGCAGCTGATGTACAGCTTCCTAAAAGCAAGCAGATTTTTGCAGGGCGGCACCCTGTCAAGACCGCGCAATTGACGTCCAACTCCCCGAGGAATACATCAGTCGAAAAGGTTAGTGACGTGAGGATGACGGCTTGCTGGTTAAGGAAAAACGGTGGACGACTTCATCAGTCGAAAAGGTTAGTGACGTGAGGATGACGGCTTGCTGGTTAAGGAAAAACGGTGGACGACTTTATCAGTCGAAAAGGTTAGTGACGTGAAGATGACGGCTTGCTGGTTAAGGAAAAATGGTGGACGACTTTATCAGTCGAAAAGGTTAGTGACGTGAAGATGATGGCTTGCTAGTTGAAGAAAAACATTGGACGACTATCAGTCGAAAAGGTTGGTGACGTGAAGATAATGGCTTGCTAGTTGAAGAAAAACATTGGACGACTATCAGTCGAAAAGGTTGGTGACGTGAAGATAATGGCTTGCTAGTTGAAGAAAAACATTGGACGACTATCAGTCGAAAAGGTTGGTGACGTGAAGATAATGGCTTGCTAGTTGAAGAAAAACATTGGACGACTATCAGTCGAAAAGGTTAGTGACGTGAAGATGATGGCTTGCTAGTTGAAGAAAAACATTGGACGACTATCAGTCGAAAGGGTTGGTGACGTGAAGATGATGGCTTCCAGGTTGAGGATAAACGGTGGACGACAATGTCAGTCGAATTGTAAATCGAAATCAGTGGTCGAGGATAAATAGTTATCTGTGTAGAAGTTGAAGAGGATAATAGACGGAAATATGAATCGAAGTCGGTGGTTGAGAATGAACATTTGTATGTGGAAGAGTTGAAGAGAACAGTAGACGACAATGTCGATCGCAATGTCGGTCGAAATCACTTTCATGCTAGCTGTTCCCCTTCATTTTCTACTCTATGGCTATACTTCCATGTCTTTGGGTGTTTCCTCCACTTGCTAACTTTCCAGGGATCTTCACTCTTTATCACACAGCTAATTTCCACTGTCTAAGTTTGGCTTGCCTTTACTGCTTTCCCCTGTCAACATGTGAACGATGGGTCTCCGAACAGCAGTAGGGGGTGGATGGTCAAAGGTTCAAAGGGGAGAGCAAGACTGTGGCCGAAATGAACCCCAGATGCCGTTTGGTCTGGCGTCTTCCATTCACAAATCAATACGCAGGAGATAGGCCTCTTGGAATCAATGATTGCCCTTCAGGGGTACTGCAACCTTTGCTGGCAGCTTGCCTGATTTCTCCGAGAATTGTGAAATCATCCAGGACGGAGTGTCTCCTGGTAGCATGAGCCAGGCAAGATTAAATGTCACGAACAGTCTACAATTTTCTAGCAAAGCGCACTGGGTCTTAGCATGTTTATGTAACTGTTTTGTTGTAGGCTTAGCAACACTCTTTAGCTCTCACGCTCACAAGAAAGAATAATAACACAGGAAAAATGGGTATCTAACGCTCTATGAATGCGGCAAAATATGCCACAATCGGGCTTCTAGAGCTCGTGGATAAGAGCTCAGATCAGAATGTAGTATCGTGTAGCTTCGCAATGCTCCGAGATCTATCCCACACCTTCAACGCCCCTCAAACAGCCAAAGTTTAGATGATCCCGACATCTACCAGCACATTGCAGTCAGGCTGGGCGCGAGCGAGTTACTCTTCCATTGGATCGGGGGGCAGCCGGCGTCGCCTGTGTACATCGTCAGCTTGTCCACCAATCAATAAGACGGCTAGCATTCCGACCTTGGCTTTGACTTCTTTGTTAGTCTCCTCTCTCGATCCATGGACTGCCTTCTTGGGTGCTTTCTTGCGGCCTTTCTGAAGCTTTGGGGCGTCTTCGTTTGCTTCAACTTCGAGCTCTGGTGTGTGCTCTAGCTTGACGTTACCAAGAGGGGTCTCAAGCTCAGAAGCTGGATCAAGATCATCAGTCTCGGTGTCCTCGTCCTTGATCTTCTTGGCTGTTGCGGCTTTGCGTGGAGCTCGTGTCTTCTTCGCTATGTGAGGAGGAAGAGTATCATGATCGCTATTCTCGTTCTTGATGTGCAAAGCGGCCTCGTCTCCAGCTGTGGCCTTCTTGGCTTGTTTGCCACCCTTCTTGACTGACTGGTCATCTAGCTTGAAGTCTCCATCGGCCTTGTCATCGTTAGCGTTTTTGCCCTTCTTGACGGCAGCTTTAGTCTTCTTATCCGCCGGCCCTTCTTTCTCAGATCTGGTCTCAGCATCCTCGTTCTTGGTCTTCGGTTCTTTCTTGATCCTAGGTTTGGTTTTCTTAGTTGTCGAACCTTCATTCTCAGACCCGCCGTCAGCATCCTCGTTCTTGATTTTCGGTTCTTTCTTGATCCTAGGCTTGGTTTTCTTAGTTGTCGAACCTTCATTCTCAGACCCGCCGTCAGCATCCTCGTTCTTGATTTTCGGTTCTTTCTTGATCCTAGGTTTGGTTTTCTTAGTTGTCGAACCTTCATTCTCAGACCCGCCGTCAGCATCCTCGTTCTTGATTTTCGGTTCTTTCTTGGTCCTAGCCTTGGTCTTTTTCGCCGGCGGCTCAGCCTCTGCTGAGCCTTCCGCATCCGGGTCATGGTTGACATGGCCGCGCTTCTTGTCATGAGTCGTGCTGGGGCTCGCACTTTCTTCTCCGGCATTCTCTTCTTTCAAGGCCTTCGGATAGTTAGATGAAGAGGACATTAAGACAGCCAGGGCGGTAATTGGACCGGTACAGGTACTTACTTGAGCTTCTGCCTTCAACCGTCGCTTACTCTCAAGCGTAAAGTATCCATTCTTTCCTTCGCGGTTCATTTCAATGTCCTAGACGCAGTCAGTAAGATGTATCTAGACTATTGGTAGACACGAATACCCAGCCCCAGTCTTCATCATCGATATGGCCCTGTTCTAAAGCCTTTACGACTTTTTCTTGGAAATCATCCGGAAGTTCATCGTAGCCATCGAGCTGGCTCGGGTCTCCTTCAATGCCCTCTTTGAGGTTGGAGATTACTCTGGGGGTCACGCAACCCCTGCAGGCGAATGAGATCAACAAGAGTGATGGCGAAGATTAAGAGATACCTACCAGTGTTTCCAAGCCCAGCTTTGCCAGTCCGGAGTAGTGATGAACGTGCCAAAACGCAGCTGGCCCTTTTGGATTTTGATACCCTCTTTCTTGCACTCAGAATTCTTGCATCCAGCGCGATTGTTCGGCGAGACCTCTGTAAAAATCTGTCTCAGCTCACAGCAAAGCCGAAGAATTGACTAAGAAGAGCGAAGCAGCACCGTAACACGAAGGTGGTTTAGGAAAGCACTCGGTATGGCAACAGGCAGGTGTCAGGAATCCAAGGAAAAATACAAAAGGGCGAGCAATCGAGAATACTACATACCGATGCGATACGCCCCGGACATATTGGTGGGAGTTATGGCCTCTCAGTATGTTGACTTCATAGAGAGCGATTCTGTGGCTTGTCCCTAAGTCAAACCTGTTATGAAGGTAAAGAACTCACCAAGGGATTAGCTGATTTTAAGCCACAGGTTGGATACCGTGTGTCTGAGTCAATGAGTTTTACCATCGGAATTCTTTGACGAAAAGATACAGTGGTGTTGACATTGATTTTCTTGGATCTGAGACCAGAAGCGCCAAGACAACGCTAGAGTTTCAGCCTTACGAAATAGAAAGTTCGATACACGCATAACTTCCACCAGACTACATCCATTGATTTCTCTTTGTGAGGTCCCTCTTCCCTTCTACTCTGTTCTTTATCGAGCGGGCTGGGATGATAATGGCTACAGCAACCTCGTTAAAAAGAGGCTGATTGTAGGATCATGGCGATTCTAGCCAACGTCCAGAGACTTCTCTGGGGCTCGAGTATCGCCACCAATGGCAAGAGCTTCTCCTGCACTAAGTGGCTTTGTGCAAGCATTCAGCCATCCTAGTACTAGCATAACAGCTGCAACTATACCGGCCTTTCTGGCCCCAGCAATCGTGCAGGAACGTAGGAATCCCAAGGGGACCCAAAGGCTGAAGTATCTTGGCTCCCGAAGACACGCATCGGTTACCGCATCTCAATACTCGACCGAGAACAGCATTGATAGTCACGCCAATAGCAAGCGTGGCCTGCCGCTTGAGGTAGAGGGTCTCGTCTCTTCCCCACGCCGAATAAAACCCGCAGCATGGGCCACCGCTATTGAATCGTACCTTCCTCAGAACCTACATCAGGGGCCCGAGAACACTGCTGAGGAAGTGATCCAACATGAAGTCCTACGACCAATTCACACTTTGCCAGAGGTTCTGTCCATGGCAAGATCGTACTGCAAAGCGGATCTTTTAAGCTATATTGGTGTATATCAGGAGCGATGGGAAGTAGTGATTTGGCTGGTCAAGGCTATGATGGGAAAATACCCGGGTCATATAGAGATGGAGAGGAGCTCGAGCCAGCTGCCACCACTGCTGTGGCGGACCGCTGAGCAAAGTCTGGATGAGGTCACAGGCAACGCAATACAAGTTGAAATGCCTCAGCCCTCAGATGTGTCAGGGGGGCGCAACGGCTGGTATGGCCGCTTGTCTCTTGATCAATATCCTTGGCCATATATGTCAGATCGGTGGGATGACCCTCACATTCTAAGGCGTAAGAGCCTTGGACAAATATGGCAGAGCCTGGGTACAATGATCCTACAGGCAGCAGATCGTCCAGCGGAGGATTCTAGTTACAGCGTTATTATGTCTCACGTCTTTCAGATTCTAGGACATTTACATCGCATTAATGCATTACCTGATTCGATTTACAATTATGCTCCCCCAACAGATCCGACTGTCCTCCAACGCCCGCCAACTTTACATCTGCTGTCAAGGCGTATCATGAGCACATTGTCGGATGTTGAATGGGGACTCCAATGGGAAGAGACGATCGCAAAGGCTATGTCTCAAGGATATGAACTACCCAAGGTTAGCGTGCAGCCAAAAATCCGCGAATTTGGGCCCGAGTTGTGGCTAGACCTCGTCCTATGGGCCTGCGTCGAAGGTGGTTGGGTCAGTGAAGGAGCTTGGATAGTCAACGAAATGGAAAGACGAACAACATCCAAGGATGCACGGTGGTCCACTATCAGCTGGCCGGAGATCTGCGAGATGAAAGCACCGAAGCTTGACTGGACGTCCATCTTGAGGTTAGAGATCGACAAAACACGTTTGAATCAGGTAGGCGGTATTGGAATAGCGACCGGCACGAACTCACATGTTGAGATGGGTGCCCGCACAGTCAGTCGAGAAGTTATATTAGCTCTCATAGATGGCTTGCTCAACGGCCCCCAGTCTACTGCCGGAGGCCTTGTTATGACCGTTGTCGAGCTTCGACGGAGTATAATCGCATGTAAAAGCTTGCTGGACCATAATCATCCGGAGCTTGAGAGCAACTTCATGGACGCTACCATCCTACGGGTCTTTGAATCCTTTGGGAATGTCAAAGAGCAGCCCGGAATGCTCAACAGGTTTCTGGACTTGCGGGTCACCCAGCCCAAGCAGGTGACTCGCAGTTCTGGCACGAAAAGCTCGGCTCAGGACCAGGAGATAGACTATTCTGCGGCTGCTCTAGGCTTACGTCACAGAAACCTTCACCGTTTCTCGATTGATGGAAATCTTCGAGGAAGCCTTCAGACATTCAGGAAGATCCAAAGCACTATTGATACACAGCGTGAAGAGAGAATTCTCACCTTTGCGGACGAGTTGAGGGAACGACTTGGAAGAGGCGATGATGTTTCAGACCTCTTTGGAGACACAGAGAACTATGTAGCACTTATTCAACCTCCCCCAATCCCGTCGAGCATTCTGGCTTCCTTCATAGACCTCATCACAAAAAGTAGGTTGTTCGATCTAGGGAATTGGCTCCTTTTGAATGAAGACATCGACGGAGGTCTTATGGATCCGGCCCTCTATTCCGATCAGAACTTACAGCCAGCGCTCCTCCGATTTGGAACAGCAACATCAGATTCTCGTCTACTCACAAAGATCCTCGTAGAACTGGAGACACCATTCTCGGAGCCGGTTGTTCATGCCCTCTTGCGTTACCAGGTTGTCTTAGGAAGATGGTCAGCTGTCGAAGAATTGCTAGAGTACCTCAAAAACACACCAGACATGGCATGGAAGCCTAGCGATGCTACCACGATTGCAAAAACCATCTTGCAGTTGGAGCACGAGCAGTCAGGCAATGCCAACACTGCCTCAGTTCCAAGAGCGCTCGCCCTTGTACAGAATTTGGTCAATGGCCAATACAATTCCAAGGCTGACCCTTCGCAGCTATTACCCGACTTCTCTCAAATGAGGATGGCCAACCAGCTTGGTCGGATACTTCAAACACTACCTGGGAGCTTGAGCAGGATTACCACCAGACCTGCCGGAGAAGATTCTCGAGCGCATGCTAGTGCTGATGTTACGCCTTATGCTTTCAACATCATTCTAGAGGCCATCGTGGATCGCTACGGAAGCCTTGCAGGTAAGAGGCTGTGGGAGCAATGGTGTCGTGCGCCCAACATCCGGAAGCAAAAGCAGCAATCGCGCTCATCTCGTGGAGGTCGCGAAAGAGTGGTGACTCCAACGCTCTACATGCTCCGCAGTATCCTGCGACCAGCCTTGGAGATCAAACGGGCTCTACACGTGGCCAGGAAGGAAGAATTGATAAAGACGCAAGAGGCAAAGACGGCAACGCTTAACCACCAAGGAGATCCAGGCTCCGTAGATGGAGCCGCCAGTGAGAAATTTCGACTCGGTGACGAAGACCAGAAGGTTCTTGACTGGGGCATCAGCATGTACAAGAGGTTTGGCCTGTCGGAACATGAGATCAACGGCGAGATCCCGGGATCTTTCCCTCCGCCTGGGAGGGTGAAGGCTGTGCAAGACGGGGATGCTGTAGATATTTGATCGGGTGCTTATGGGATATTTTATATATATTAGCGATCTTTGAATCCACATCGAGTCGTCAACGCCAGCGTTCCTTCCCGCTGGTCAGAAGTCCCCCTTCTCCCCCCCGTGGCTGCCATCACTCGACCCCTCACGGGCATCGAGCGGGCGAGACGGGATCAAAATCAATCACTTACAGACCCGTGAAAGTATCAACACCACTGAAGGAATACCCCGTTCCCCATGTTTCCGCAGCAACACCAGAACCCTTGCACAAGCGCAATGTCCATTCTCGCAAGCCCAAGTACGAGATATACACCTCATCGCTGCCGCATGACTTGACCCAGCGGCAAGATTGATGGTGGAAGTTTGCGCTCTGTGAATGAATGAGTGAATGAATGTATGTCATTAAGGCTTACAGCTACGGAGCGGGCGATTTTTACTTTGTCTTCTTTGTCTTTGTTGATTCTGTTTCGGCGGTGAAGGAGAAGAAGAGGAAGAAGATGAAGGGGAGGAGGAGGAAGAGGAAGAGGAAGAAGAGGAAGAGGAGGAGGAGGATGAAGAGGACGAAGAAGAGGAGGAGGAAGAAGAAGAAGATGAAGAAGATGAAGAAGGTAATATATACACTGAGCCGGACGATCATATGGATCCAGGCTGTTGGCAAAAGGTGTGTTGTTGTTGTTGTTGAAGAAGAAAGAGTGGACGCTCTTACAAAGAGCCGACATCGCCACCCCGCCCCACCCCACCCCACCCTCCTTGGTGGGAGAATACGAGCCGCGAGGATACTATACTAGTTCGTCAAGAAGAAGAAGTAGAAGAAGAAGAAGAAGAAGAAGAAGAGAATATGTATATGCGAACGCAACCCCTGCCATCCACGCACCACCACCATCGAATCCTCCCCCACCGACGCATCAACGGCCAGCCGCACTCAAGACGTCTCGAGGGGCTTGCTGGGCATGGTGCCGGTGGTGTAGTTCTGGCTCCCGGTCCACAAATCGCAGCCGACCTGGGTGGCCTTGCCGAACGCCATGCCGATGCCCGAGCCACCGAAGAGGGCGTTGGCGGCCCCGTCGTCTTTGCAGAGGTCGAAGTTCACGTTGGCGCCTAGGCGGGGCGCGTCAGCTTTTTGGCGGCAAAGTGGAGAGCCGGGGGGGGGAAGGGAAGGGGTGGGTAGGGGAGTTGGGGGTGATGAGGGTGGCCTACCTGCGAAGTTGGTGTCTTGAAGGGTTGCTTGACCGCACTGGGGTTTGGGAGGGTCGTTGTTAGTACGTCCGTTCCTCAACTGAAAGACGGTCTGATGGGGTCGCTTACATCCTTCTCGTTACTCGACGCCGGGCAAAGATTGTTCACCATGACCACGATTGTATTCAGGCCACCCACCGCCGCGGCGGTGTTCGCGGCATTGGGGTTCGACACCGGGTCGAGTTGCCAGCAGGTACCGCACGTGTCGGTCTTGCCCGACGCCGCACCGAACAGGTTCTGGGACACGGCCGCGTTGTACCCGGGGGTGTTGTAGAAGCCGCAGGAAACGGAGGCGGCGTTGCAGTTGGGGGAACCGTTGCCGTCGTTGAGTCCGTACCTGGGGTGGATCAGTGGGGTTGATGATCAAGTGGGGAGGGTTGGTAAATTTGGAGATAATTTAGGGTGGGGAGAAAAGTAGGGGCTGAAGTGGAGGAAAACGTACTGGGTGAAGGTGGCGCTGTAGGAGACTCCGCCGCCGGAGGGTGGGGATGCAGGCGTGGTAGGTGCTGGTTTGCTGGCAGTAGCGGCGGCAGGCGTCGAGGAAACTGCGTTTGCTGGCGCTGAGGAAGAGGGTAAGCCTGGGTTCTCTTGTGGGTTGGCGGCTTCCTTCTCAGTGTCGCCTCCGCCGGACTCGGTCGAGGACCCAGAGGGCACGTGGGATACAAGAGCCTTGGGAGCAGCGACCAGCACTGTGCCCTGAGGGATCACCGGAGCGGCGCCTGTTCCAGAAGGCATGGCGAAGCCGGCGGATGCATCCTTTAGGGACGCGAAGGAGGAGTGATGATGGGAGTGCTCCCACTTACCCTTCCAGGGGTGGCGGGGCGTGGCTGCGACTGTGCTGGCCAAAAGGAGAAGGGGGGAGAAATGTGCGAAATGCATTGCTGTGGGTTCGTAGTATGATGATTTGAATAGGTTGAAAAGGTGAAGGTATGAGGCAAGGAGGGTAAAAGACGAGCTTGATGCGTCTGAATGTTAAATATTGACGAAGAAAAGGAATGTAGATGCTGATGCAAGTAATGAGTGCGGAAGACGATTGTATGATGTCCTGGAGAAGAGAACAAAGTGATTGGGGGCAGACAGAGATATATATCACAAGTCATCTTATTATTCGATCCCCTTGGCAAAACGAAGACCTTCCATCCCCTCCCGTCTCCCCCTTCCTATCTACCTCCCGTGCGGGCTCTTGCACTTGTCAAGCTCAGGAGCCAGCAGATCTGCATGAATCTTGTCAAGGACACTACCGGGATAGCATTAGTCTTGCATGGGTCATGTTTCATGGTGCAGTCAAATTGCATAGATTGAGTGCTGTGAAAGTGCGGGGATGGCAAAGAGCTCGGTTAGGAGACGAGAATGGAGATGGCCGAGAGGAGTTTTTTTGTTTTGGTTTCTTTGGGGTGAGAAGAAATGAAGAAAAGGATGATGGGATGGTTCGAGATGCGGGGTGGATGCATGGCAGACATGGACTGTCAGATTAACCTTGCTCTAGTGCATCGTCCCACCCTGGGGTGCGAGGCGTAGCATTGACCATCCTAAGGTATTCATTAAGATTCAAGAGCGAGTAGCCGGCACTGTTTCAACTGCTCAACTTCAGCATCCATTGGTCGGATTCCCGCTCACTTAGAAGGCGTATGTCAACCTGCGAAGACGAAATATCGAAAACATAGAATGATGACTACTGCTGGAAGAGTGGTGGTCTGGGGCCAGGGTGAAAGATCGGGAGGCCTTGCACTTATGTTGTCAGCTTCGGCTTCCATCTCATCTCTGTTCAAGAAAAAAGTGAGATGTAGATTGGGAGTCTTACCTGCATCGGCAGAGTCTCTTGCGTGCATAGATGCTTCCCTGAATACTGATATCATTGTACAGTACCTTGTTTCCAGTATCCCAGTAGTCCCTGACCATGGGCCTGAATATCATCCCACTAAAATTAAAAAATGTCACATCCATCAAAAAAGAGGGGGTCGATAACTCGGTGGGTCCTAGTTGGTGTGCCAGGCCCCGGATGCACTAACGCAGGCTGCCGCGCGCTACCCCTGAATCCTCATAGGCTGGAGCTACTTGAACTGTTGTTTCATCAGAATTGGAGGACCCATCCGATCCGATCCAAAGATTTCCAAGATACGAGAGCTGGGAAACGTGGGAGCTGCGGGAACGATCCCCTTGCTTGCGACCCGTGCCTGGTCCTGTGCAGAATGCATATCCACCTCCTCCTTGTCCCAACATGACCGCTGAAGATCGATTCAACAGCTCGGACAGAATGAGAGGGCAACCGCCCAAATGGCGCATGTGTGTAAAAGATCTATTGCCGAGTCGTCTATCGAAAATCCCTCATCTTCGTAAATCTCACTTGCAGTCGATTGAAAAGAAAATTAATCAAAGAGCCTCAAAGCAAATACGCGAGCACGATCCACGCTTTTCTACCCATGCTGTCCATCAAACAGCGCCAACGCCATCCAACCAATCAAGTCAGTTCAAGAGCACCACTCCTCAATCCTCCAGCGCTGTCCATCACCCGTCCCCTTTCTTTCCTGTTCAGAAGAATCCATTCCCGCATTCCAGCAAGCTGCGACTTCCTACAAAGCTGAAACCACCAAAAGGATCCGGCTCGCTCTTGTTACCGCTCAACGGGCCCGGTAGCACAGGACTGACGGCCAGATCCGTAAACTCAGACGAGAAGTTCTCCGCCAATTCTGGATCAGTGATCAGTGGTGTGATCGGCGGTTCCATCTCCCGTCTTTCCAGTTTCGCCCACTCAATCTTTCGGAAGAAGCGGTGGCTCTTGATGCTTTGCATGTCCTTCGGCATGCAAGCGCCCAACCGTTTCTTCGGCTCTTTGCGGAGAAGGCGCGTCAGGAGGTCTTTTGCGTCAGGGCTGAGGAAGTAGGGGAGGACCAGCTTCGCCTTCACGATCTTTTCTCGAATCTTCATGTCGTTGTTGGCGCGGAAGGGCGATGAGCCTGTCAATAGATCAAAGCCTAGAATGCCGAAGGACCACCAATCCACTGCTGTCCCGTAGCTTTGCATTTGGATCACTTCCGGAGCCATATATTCAATTGTGCCGGTCATTGACTTGCAGCGGTGCTCTCCGTCAACGGCCTCTTTGCTAAGCCCGAAGTCTGTCAATAGCAGATGCCCCTCGGAATCGAGCAGGCAGTTCTCCGGTTTTAAATCGCGGTAGACGACACCGACGGTGTGATGCAGATGTTCGAGGGCAAGTACCATCTCCGCCATGTAGAAAGCAGCGGTCTCCTCAGGAAACATTCGCTCCGTCCGCAAATGCTCGAAGAGCTCTCCGCCTTGGGCATACTCAAGAATGAGGTACAGCTTCTCATGATCCTGAAACGCATAGTAGAGCTTCACCACGAATGGATGGCGGTTGATGCTTTCCAAGATACTTCGCTCCGTCTTTGTCTGCTCTACAAGTTGTTTGCGCACGGTCAATGAGGCCTTCCGGAATTGCTTCTGCGCATAGAGCTTGCCGGTGCATGCCTGCTTGACCAGAAGGACAGTCCCATAGGTACCCTTGCCAAGACAGCGGAGAGGATCGAAATCAGTCGCTTGCATCTTCCGAACCACCCCACCGTTCAACAAATTGTCCGGCCGAGCATCGCGTCTATCCTTCTGTGTGATATCGGAACTGATAAAGTCATGCTCTAAAGGCACTTCGTAGCTGGTTGTCTCCGGTGTATCTTCGTCGCCGCTGGTCCCTGATGTCACGCTTGCACTGCTAGCGGTCTCCGAGCCAAGCTTGCTTTTGTTCCTCAATAGAGAATTTTTGCCGGGGGAGCCATCACATTCCAAGGCATCCAATTGTCTTGTGAGAGCACTGATGCCACTTGAAGGCGATGATGATCGAACCTCAAGGGCGCTGCCAATACTAGATCGCCCAGAACGATCGAGGCTCAGGTCCTTCCTCACAATACTGCTGGAACGCTGAACGCTCAATTCCCTCCTTCTGCGAAAGCCTTCCGAAGAGAAGTCAAAGTCGGAATCGTCGTCGCCAGAGGTCACGGGCGTGAATCCACGTACCGTACTCAATGCTGCCACTGCGCCTTTCTTTGGCCCACGCTTCTTCTTGCGCGCAGGTTTGGGGAGAGGTCTTGGTGTAGCCTCGGCCAATGCGTGATCCTCGTGCTCGCTCCTAGCCCTGCTCCGACTTCTGGCCATCGAAGGTGTCATGACGATATCTATTGGTGGAGTACCATGTCCGCTCAGTGTAGGCTCGACGGGTTCCGGACCGAGCCTGGAGCTCGGCCGATCCCTTGGGCAGGAGTGATTGGAGTGTTCCCCTATTGCGTCCGCCGTGTTGCTGATTTCACGATTCTCATGTAGAAGCCCATCTCCGTTGTCGACTGTCAATCCATCAAGTGCTGGGACAGGGGCGACAGGAGCGAATGACTCATCCAGATGAGAGTTGGAGAAGTGTTTGTCTGTAGCGTCGAAAGCGAACATCGTCGCGCGAGTGGACAAGTTATAGGCGGCGCTCGACCGGCCAGGACATCCAAAGAGTTATGAATTGCGTCTTCGCAGACTTCTGGCATACGATGAGTGTGGATTCTTTGCCAGGTACCTTAGTTCAAGAGGGCCCATACATGTTTGTCGATCCACAAATATGATCGCGGTCTTATTACCGTCCGCCCATTCAGGACGGACCCTCCGCCAGTAGCCACAGCACCGAGGTACTTTCAGTTGCGAAAAACTTTTCTGTCTGGGATACTCCGATGCACTTCGCTTTGCAGCGCGAGATGGCTGGGCTTGGGGTCGGGACGGTAATGGTAATGGTAGAGATTCTGAATGGCCCCATAAATGATGATGATGACGACTGTAGGAGAGTTATGATGTTTGTGTTGAAGATCTGCTTGAATCTGTGAGGGAGAATGCCTGCGAAAGTGCGACGTGAAGCCTGTAAGCTGGCAAGTCGCGACACGCAGCGAGAAATCAAAGAAAATGGTCTCGGCCGCTTACGGTGAAGCCGAGCCCAAAGCGGACTAGTGGCCAGACCTCTTCACTTTACTTTCGTGACGGAACTATTCGTGGATTCCAGAAATGAATTACTTGATAGAACGAGGACACCAATAGATCAAGCGACATGCCGCTAAGTGGAAATATCTATTGGTGTCCTCGCTCTATCAAGTAACTCACTTCTGGAATCCACGACTATTGAAGATGTCTTGCCATTGCCATGATACTCTACACACTATCACCTTAATACTGGGCTACTTCCTAATGCCCTGATCATGGCTTGGGCAGCTAAGACTGAGAGGCGCCATGCACAAAGCCTCAAAGTTAGTACAAAGTAACTTGCGATGAGCCATCAGGTCAAATGAGCTTGATTAGCATGCCTAACTCGATGTCTCTAGAGACCTATTCTATCAGTCGGATCTTACTGGATACATGAAAACGGTAGCCAGTAGTGCTCGCCTCAGCCCACTGAACCTAAAGGAAGTAGTAAAAGCGAAGAAAAAGCCCGACTTTTGTGGTATCATCGTATCTCGAGGCAAATGCGCAGCACTATGACATCGACATCGTTCGCATAACTCCTAGTGAATCTCCGTAGAGATGCTGGACCAAACATTCTGAGCATGATATGCAGGAAGCTCTTAAAGCCGTTGTATTCCGAAAACATGAAATGATAATCCGAATGATTATAAAGCGCAACTCCTATTATCTCCATGAGCAATTGGCCGTAGCTGCATAGCTCGTCAAAATCGTAAAGATCCTCTCCTTTTTGGTGCTTTTGTGTATACTGTCGCATATGGAAGCCAACACTCGTAGCCGGCGGTGCGCGTAGATCCAAAGTGCTTCTGGTGCCTCTTGGCTTTCTCTAGCGTTTCCTCGTCCTCATATAGTATTCGTGCAAGTATCATCTGAATGCATCTATCTCATCTTGGATTTGTAAGTAGTGCAAATCCGTCATCATCATTCAGCGATGATGAATCATTCTCCTCTTGGCAGCGGGAACCCCAAACGATGGACGATGGCCGAAGCTCCCACTCATCTTGCGCTTCTTCTGAGGGCCCATCGGAGCATTGGCAGCAGCTTGCCTTCCACCCTTGAGTGCGTAGCTGTTCAACGACAAGTTACCATGACGAGGACGCGGTTGAGGTTGGTGATGAGGCTGTCCGCGACGGAATGCAGACACGATGTGCCTATCGAGGTGTTTCATAAGGTCGTCTGAAGCCATAGTAGCATCAGGCGACGGTGTCTTTAATTGGACCGGGCCAGGACCTTCCGTTGTGACAGGTGATGTTAGAGCCGAATCATCGCCTGCAGCTTGGTCTCCGTCCTCTGAGGAGTCGTCGCCAAAATCAATGAAGTCATCGATATTCAAGAGAGCATCGTCGTCGTCATCATCGTCGTTCAGGTCGTCGTCTTCGAAAAAAGAGCTGACATTACCCATTGCATCCATGGGAACGAAGACAGACGATGCAGCAAATGAATGATCCATCGAAGGCTGTCGGCTGTGGCCAGCCGGAAGAGGAGCGGAAGCCGCCACAATATCAGAGCCCGGTCCAAGTACTGGATCATTATACTCGTACATGGAGGCTTGACTTGGAAAGCTACTGGGGTCAATGCCATTGCCATCTGGTGCAGTGCCCAACGTCGGCTGCGAAACAATCGGGCTTGCGTTCGCAGTGCTTATGATACTGTTGGCTATTGACACAGACATATCGTTAGGTTTAGATGGACGCGTCGCGGGACGGATGATCATGTTCTCACCAGTGCTGTCGATGACCGCACATGGTTTGGTGGAATCGACTATCCAGGTACCCATGCGTGGGCCACGACGATATCCGGCAGGAGTTCCAGGGAATGTGAATGGACCCTTTGCTGCTGGCGTGGCAGGAACTTGAGCCTCGAGCTCCAGCGACGACAGCGATGGCTGACGAAGAAGTGACTGTGGTCGTTTGGTTGCAGAAGCTGGAACATCTTCTTCATCAGTGGTGTCGCCATAATCAGCTGAAAAGGAGCAATGTTAGCTTCGCAGATGAGATCAAGTCATGCAACCCACTTTCGTACCCGCTGGAGCTTCCAACAGAGCTGCCATCGTCGTCTTCGTAATCCAAATATGGGCCACCCAAGTCCAGATCCCCACCTGATGGTACAGTAGGAGTAACAACAGGAGAGAAGAGAACGTTGATGTCTCCGCGATCCGAGTCCATATCGGAATCGTTCGATAATTGCGAGATTGGCTCCTTGAAGCGAACCCGACGAGGGGATGGCGATGGTGGCGGAGGCGAGGGAAATCCATCGAAGATGCTTGCCGATTGAAAGAGCTCCATCTCACTGTCGAGAATGTTCGAATCAGTGCGGCCATACCGTTCGTCAAAGTACGGAACATCCTCGAGGAATAAGCCGTCTTCGAGTTCGAATCCTTCCCATCCATCCGATGCATCAAGGTATGCTGGCTCAGTGTTGAGACCGTCAGCCTCCTCTGATTCAATAATGTTCCTTTCCTCCAATTGCTCGACATTGGGCTCATCCTCTTCTGAGTCGCTGATCAGATCAACACGATTGTAGACATCGTCATCAGAATCGCGCAAGGTAGGTCTCGCTTTCGTGATTTTAGTTTTGCCCTTGGAAGCGGTGGGGCCATGGCTCTTCTTTCCCTCAAAGGTTGATTCGCGATCGCCAACGTCTTCTTTGCTACGCCCCGCCTGATCTCCATCCCCCTTGATGGCGCGACCAGACAGGGCAAATGCATCCCCCTCCCCATCGTCGTCACTCTCTTCATCAGGCTCGGCAGCGTCCAAATTGCTGACATCTCCATCGGCGTCATCGTCGCTGGATGTGCTGCAGGAAGCTTGTCCTCCTCCGTGCTTCGGCGAGGAATTTTTCGGTGTAGGTCTCTCTGTATAGGTATTGCTCGACTGGTCTAATCGAGGCTGATTCCTTTTGGACTTTTTGTGTCCAGAAGCATGGTCAATTTCCAATGGGTTTGGCGCCGCGCCAATCGGCGCATAGGCATTGCGACTCGATTTGCGAGACATGGTGAGGCTTATGGTGTGTATTGTATAGCGTTTTTGTATGTAGGTAGTAGTCTCGTGCTACCCTTCCTGGGATCCCCAGGGGTAGAGACGTTATGGAGGGGGGTATCGTATTGTCAAAATGGTGGGTTCTGAATTTTCTGCAAAAATGGTGTACTCTTCAGGGTTTGTTCAGAAATCTTTCAAGTAATGTTTTTGTGTTCGATGAGAGGGCGGTGAGCAGACCACAATCCTCCTTCAGCCTCGAGGACCGAGGAGCGCGACCTGACTTTGTAGTGTGAAGAGCTTCGAATGCTCAGGGGTGATGCTTTGAAGCAATCGAAGAGATAATAACGTCGATAGTCGATTGAGATACTCGTTGGGCTGGCCAGTACTGAAGGGCATGCGTTTCCACATGCCCTTCAGTAGGTCTTTACAGCACAGCGATCGCCTGAGGCATGTTGAATCGACGGTATTATTGGTTGGATGTGTATGTGTGCTCTTTGTAAAGATGTGTAGTGCGACTTCGTTGTCTGGAAAATGGGTTGTAGGAGGAAAGAAGAGAGTGAGGAGCGGGCGGAAGGCCATAACGTGGGAATTTTTGGCGCGCTAATAATCTTATTAAGGGACTCCAATTGGCTCAAATGCCATAAATCCTTCACCGCCAGAAGCTTTTACCAAACTGCATGTCATTCCTACGTCTCACACGGCGCCTACAAACTACTTTTGCGTACACGGAGCTGCGTTGTAAGGGATTGCAAGTCAGAGTGATACGACGAGTATCCAAGTCCCGCTGGCAGGCAAACCCAGGCTCAGATAATTGCGAGCAGGATACTTTAGGATCTTCTCTTCTTCATGACTCACATGCTCTGCTGCCATATTGAGAGGAGAGAGGATGCTAAAATATCTGCACCAACGCTCGTTCCGTTTGCCCCTTGCCTAAAGCTACTCGAGGGAGGAAGGTTTTGAGCCTCGTTGTTTAGCCCTACGAATGATGTTCCTTTCCAAGTTCTAACATTTGAAGTCATGTGGACCCTAATCAATGCAAGATGATGTCTTTCCACGCATCATACGCATCATCTATGAGACTTACTCTACAGCAGAGCGCAAAACACCTAAGCTTCGTACGTAAACAATTCCAAACACAAAATCTGGCGCGAAGTGGGGGCAGCAGGATAATGATGGTGCTAGCCAAGAAGGCAGTTTTTCACGGCGGCCTCGGTTCTAGTTTCCACTTCGACAATGAGAGCAAATGCTCGTCTTGGCGTCAGCTTCTGGTGTTCAGGATTCGCTATCGAAAATTGTGGCACTTGAATGCCGACTTCCTCCAAATTGGAAAGGGATTTAGATACAATCAGTCCATAGAAGCAGCTCAAGCGTGCTTATCTTACCAAAATTCCAAAAGATTCATGCCGCTACAATTGCAACTTTTTCGCTCAACTCGCCAAGAAGTTGCGTTGAAGTACCTTATGTACATGGTAGGTAAAACCAGCTCGAGCTATGAATGCATCGTCCCGTAATGTCCTCGGACTGCCCGATTCCTTGCCAAGGTCAAGCTCCAACGCCGATCTGATGGATGGGAGCTCCCATGACCCCTCTCGCCCCTATGCCGTTTGGCGGGAAAGGCCAGCGCATCCCATTAGGCCCCTCCCAACCAGCAGGTCCCTTCCATAGGTGACTGTATGTCACAATGTCCTCATCAATCAGTATGTCAAGATCATCATCCTCCGGCGGTAGTAGTAAGCCATTGCCAGCCTTAGGGTAAGGCAGTGGATCCGGTTCAACGTAGACATAGAGCTCTTCTTCATCTGCCGTGGGCTCAAGCACTTGCACTGGAGGCGGTGGAGGTGGTGGACCAAAGACAGGCAGATCTTCATGAAGAGTACTTGCATGCAGCAGCAAGCTTACAAGCTCTGCCTTTTCCAAATTTTGCAGATAGGTTCTCTTCTCCGATAAGGACATTCTGCCTGCGCTAACTTTGCCAGTCAGGTGCATCTTCTCCTCTTGCACAACAGTACATTCTGCGCAATTCCACTCCTTTTCCTCAATCTGGATGAATGAGGGTGTGATGGGCCGATCGTGGCAGTACTGATGCCATGGCGTACTGCAGCCATCACAGAAAACGATCATGTTAGAATTAGGCGAGTGACCACGGCCGCAATTGATACAGACTGCAGCTTCACCGGGTTTCCTTCTCTTTTTCGTTTTCCTTGCAGTCGATGGGGGCTCGGGCACAGGAGCACGCGCAGCACTTTGAGGGGTCTTGTTACTTAGGCCTTTCACCGGATCGAAGACCACAGGAGAGAACGTCTTTACTTGATTAATACGGCGACCGGAACTCGTTGCAGCGATTGGTGTAAATTCTTCAGACGCATCTGTATCATCCTTTTCATCGTCGTCGTCGTCATCGCCCTTCTTCCTCTTTCTCTTGATACCCCGACCAATCAACCGGCCAGCCAGCGCTGCTGCACTGTGTCCGGCTCTACTGCCTCGAGGCCGGCCCCCTTTGTTGACACCTGCCCTAACACTCCCGGGTGTTGCGCCACCTCTACCACTTCCTGGCGTTCCTCCTCTACCGCCTCTTGGGGTTCCACCTGCCCTGCTGCCTCGTGGCCTCCCACCTTTATTCTTGGCTCTGACAGGAGCATCCAGATTCTTTGGTGGAGTGTCGTCCGGTTCTTCGATCTTGACTTTGGTCCTTCTGCCCCCTCTACCTCTCCTTCCACCAGTCTTAACCCCTCCTCTGGTCACCTTGGGCGTGGGCGTACCAGTAATATCTTGGCTTGTTACCATCTGGCTGAGGACCGCTTCCCGCGCAGCCTCCCATTCTGGCGTATTCTGATTAATCAAGATGGAGCCATCCGCATTAGGAATTGTAAGAGCAGGATTTGGAAGTATGGCAGAACTTGGAGTTACTGCAGGTTGGGCGTGGGCGGACGGGAACGTAGTTGCTACGGCTTGAGATAATTGACTTTCTAGCTGTTTTTCTATCTGCGTAGCTGTTGAAGCAAAGCTTCCGGCGCGAGGCGTAGAGAGGGCGGAGCTGTCAACTTGGGACGTGGGAGACTGGCGAGGGATTACTGGCTGTGATGTTGGACGTACGGTATCTGTGTTAGAAAGACTGTGCGGACGCCTTGATTTTGGAGACATATTCCAATCTGAATCTTCCGTCGTAGAGCTCATTGGGACAGAAATTGCCTGCTCCCCACCCATTATACAGTAGGAGCTGTGTGGAGATAATTGCAGATTGAGCTTGAAGTCGCTTTTTGGACTTGCCGCGCTAGCTCGTTCTGTAATTAATATGCTGATCTGCTCCAACTCCAAATTGTCTTCGAAATTTCACGAACTTCAAAAGTCCTTACAGAATACAGTACAGTATAGATTGTCCTGACCCGCGGAAGTGGCGAGTAGAATATTCTCCGCATAAGGATCTAAGCGATATGGTGGGCCTCTACGGAGGTTGCCACCGAAAGTCCTGAACATTAGGGTTAGGGCTTCAAAACCCTTGGCATTCTTGGCAAATATCTTGAATATCTTGAATATCAATGCTTTGCATAGTAGCGACATCACTGCTATATATATGGAGTGTATGCATATGAAGTACATAGTAGCGATATTACTGCATGCATACGGGGTATGCAATTGCGATATTACTGTGTGCACAGTAGCGATAGCAGCGTATGCCTAGACATATTGCCGAAGTTATTCGTTTACGAGGCGGTAACGAGTATCGGGAGGGCCGTGAAGGAGGGGATAAGCGGCCTTATGATCCAGCTGACCGAGCAAATCAGTACATACGTAATTATATAAAACATCGTATGTAGATTATGAAGCTATTCAAGAAATTTACCAAAATGCTAGAAATGCCAAGAATGCCAAGGGTTTTAGCGCATGTTCAGGACTTTCGGTGGCAACCTCCGTACACAGGATCCTTCCGTGCGCGTAGGATCAGTAACCACTCAACGGCCTTCCTCTAAGAGTCTAAAATATACGAGCACGCTATCAACGTGATAGGCTACCCTTTGCAATGCGTTCTATCTCTCCGTTTCGACGGCTTTCCTTCCTACTACGGCTACCTGACACCTGGCTTCTCAGCCCCGTTGGACCTTCCTCTCTCGTTGATCAAGACTCCCTTGTCACTTTCCAGGTCGATTGGGCTTTGCCTGATCATGTTGCTGGCCTACTAGTAAAGACCGGCAAATTCTGCCACGCTGGAATCTCTCAACATTGGGTGGACTCAGAATCCGTGAGCTGCACAACACGGCCCTTATTATCTTAAGCTGTTAGATTACGGTCTCATTTGCTGGTCGTCACAGACCCTGATGCAACGTCGAGCATTGTCCGATGGATGCGTCCATGCAGGGTAAAAAAGCATTCAACCATAAGCTGTACTGTTTCTATAACGTTCACAAGAGCAGCGGCAATGAAAAGTTTCTCTCACCGTAATAGCTCTTCCTGAAGGAATCACTGTCTTGAATAAGACATTTCTCCATGTTGATGCCCGAAACTCACGTGAAATTGAGCAGGTTACAGCCCTCATCGGAGTCTAGATGTCCTCGATGCACAGGTGAAGAGGTAATTTTCGAAGAATTTTGCGTCTGCAGCCTTCAAGGCTGCTCTTTTGCGTTCCGTGGAACCGCATAGTTTTTCTCAGTAACGATTCAGTGACAAGTCTCGCCACTAATCCTGAGAGCCACACACACAAAACTTTCCACATTCCCAGAAGCTGTTCTGCAATGGCATCTTAACCCATGGACCTGCACGACAAAGATCTGCAGCACTTGAATTAGCATTCTACAGCAGTGTTGAACCTCAAATACTTGCCCTTATTAAGCGTGTTGGCAATGGACTACGTTGTTACATTGAAGTCTTCCTGGCGGTCTCGTGCATCACACCCTCCTGCAATGGCACCTACCCCATATAAGTCTATGTCATGTGAGCAGAGATTCAACAAATGACAGTCATCGGAACCTTTCCAACGAATGAGGGGTCTAGCGTGCTAACGGAGTATCGGCGCCGTAAGACCCCATGATATTGAACAACACAGCAGTCATTAATTGGATCGTTTTCAAAGGCCTACTACGAGCAACGATCGGCAAAAACCAAAGCATGGGGAACGCTGGGTATGGCTGGTTCGATCCGAAGTGTAGACAAAGAGACGAATAGTGTGGGAGCAACAATGAGGCGAGCTCCATCACTTTGAGGATTGAATGCTACCATGCATGTGTTATGGACATCAGAACAGGGCGGGATTCCCTTCTAACTCTCCCTTCTCTCTCTTTACCACAATTACGTGACATTACAAACCCTTGAACAAGAGCGTCAAACCCAGCCAAACCAGCGGCAGCACCAGGATCAGGATGTTCGAAAGGAAGAGACCCGAAGCCTTGAAGAGCCCCATGTCATCCCACACTGAGGCCAATTTCGTCCATAATGACATCAACAGCCATGTCACACATGTTCAGCCATCTACTAATGGAGCCAATTATGATGTCCTCACTGGGTCCTACATCGAAGCCGGTCAACGCATGAATGCCAGAATCCCGTACCACCAGCCTACTTCGGCCATGGATGGCGTCCCTCACGAGCAAGAAGGCTTCACGCCCGTTAGAGCTGCTGCCCGTGTACGGCGACAAAGCTCTCTTGATGACGAACCTTCTTCAAGAGCCAAGATGTGGGATCCAGTCAAGGATTGTAGTGACCCAAACACTGGCGAAGCGGACCTCCCTGGTTTCTCTCCAGCTCCCGACAACAGCAGTGAACGACTCACGGACTCAACGATCAGTGGCGTTGCTCCAATGGGGCTCCACTTCTGCCATGGTGATCACTTGTATGGTCAAGCCCAAGACAACCGACAGCAATTTGCAACGAGAGGAGCTTCGATGGGCCTACTCACTTATCCTCAACCACATGCCATGGCCTCGGGATCTCAAGGGAGTGCTTCGATGGGCTCCCTGCCGTTCCAAGGTGGTCATCCGTTTGACCAATTCCAGGGCAGCCGTCAACACCAATCTAGGTATGAAGGTCTTACGATCTTACCTCCCCATCTCAGAGAAACATCAGTGCAGAATGGACAACAGTCCTTGGAGTCGATAACCAGAGGAGCTGACTTGATGGGCATGCAACCGCATTTACCCGGTTGTCTGCATGGTCATTCCCAAGAGAACGGAAAAGGATTTAAGGACATGGAATCCAGGATGCCTATTTCGATGGCCTCTCACGAATCAGGACGTCCTCCGCGTTCATCTCCTTCAACAAGTTCCAACCCATCAACGCAAAAGAGTTCAGACTCCCAACAAGCTAATCGTCTGCAGCGTCAAGATCCCTCGGTCAGTATGTTCCAAGCATGGAGTGTTGCACGCTACGCACAATCAATGGACCAACAGTCCAATTACACAGAAGCCGTGCATGGGTACGAGCAAGCCTGCGTTTTGTTGCAAGAATTGATCATCAGAAGTTGGAGCTTCGAAGAACGAATGGAGTGTAATAAAGCTGTAAGCCAATAGCTATGCAGTATGGAATGAACGCTAATTCTCGTTAAAGCGCAACATCTACCAAGCGCGTCTTGACGTGCTATCGCGAGTGTTAGCAGCGAATCAAAAGCATACGCTGCTGGAACAGGATGACCAACAGGAGGATGATGGCCAGGGCGGAGGAAAGCCCCAGTACTCACTATTCGAGGATTGGGCGCTCTGCCACAAGGACGGAGAAGATCTAAGTTGGCAGGAAGTTGCTGAAAAGCCTATGTTTAAAGGCAAACGTAAGCATCGATCCTTAAGCCAACGCAAACACACCATCGGCAAGATGGGTCCGAGTTATCACGAAGCAGAAAAGCCCTGGACTGAGGAGGAGAACCAGAAACTCTGCGCGTTGGGTGATGCGGGAAAGACGCTTGGGGATATCCACCGAAAATTCCCTTCTCGCAACGCCGAGCGTTGTCTGAATCAATACTTCCATTTGAAGGGTCACAATATCATTGGCAGGAGTGATACTCGTACATCTCACCAAACTCCAGAACTGTATCCTCTCAGCACCCAACACACGCATACATCAAGTGTCGTTGCAGGGCATCGAGCATACTGCCTCCACTCAAGTGCTTCGGTTATCGATCCGGTCTCCCACCGCCAGAGTATAGCTACTGCTCCGCAGCAAAGCCACCCAGGTTCACCCACTTCCAGTAAGAACATCGCTTCAATCTTCGCGCCAAGGTGCCAGACACCTGGGACGCCTGCTTCTTTATCGTCCTTCACCAGCGGCGAAGCTGCCAACTACCCTACGGCCCCATTGCCTTTGAACAACGCGGCTTTCGCTGCAACACTCACACCCAGAACTCAAGGCTCCTTCAGACCTTCAAGACAGCCGAGGTTAGCAGGTCAATCTTCATCCTCATTCCATTCAGGCGCCAAAGGCTCCAACTATCCTACGCCCTCTATGTCTCTTGACAACCCACTTTCTCGGGAAGCAGTCGGCAACGAGAGCACTGATGGGCTGCTCACCTCAAGACACCAAAGGCCTGCGACGTCATCTTCGGTCAACACTCCCACCGATTCAACCCCTCCTACGTCCGTGACGACGTCCCCTCCGCCCGAAATCCACGACCCTCCAGACTGTCAGAGTGCGGCCGCCAACGGAGTCCGGAAGTCTCGGCGAACCGCTCATCCCGAAACACCCTAGATCATCGACGAGGGGTTGTCGACAGACTTTGCGCTGCTCTTGAATCTCGTTCGTTATAAGAGTTGCTGTCTGCCTACCCTCGTTCATGATTGGGACTGTTCGAAAGGTTTCCAATCCTCATGCCGCGTAGCGATCATATGATCATCATCCGCATCCTTGCAAAGGAACGAACCTGATGCGGATACCGATCGAGTCCGTTCCTATGGAGCGGATACTGACCTGTTTCGAGATTTCCTATCCTTGGCACTTTACTGCCGTCCACTCCTTCCCCGCATAACAACCACAGGCCCATTCTTGCCTTTCACCATCAGCAAGCAGCAGCGAGAAACCAAGCACACTCCACTCAACGCCCCCCTCAACGAAATCATCCTTTCCTACTCACGACATCACTATGGCAGCACTGTCATTTTTACAGGTAGACCTCGATATTGAAGGGAATTCCCTCAGGCATTCATCGCTATCGCAACCCCATCAGCCTTTCCTACCTTTACGGTCGAGTTTGTTCCCTTCATGGCGCATACACCTGCGGTTCTTCTCCTCTCCGATATCGGCCAATCACGACTATATCTTCTCAAACGTCAAGCTCCTTATGAAGATATAACCCCCCCCCCCGGTCTTGTCACCTAGGCTCGCTGAAAGTCGCTTCTTCTCAATATTGATGACCCTCGCGGCTCCTCCTTAGTGCTTGCTCGAAATAACTCTTTTCAACAAAGAGAGATGTCATTAGTCGGCTAGTAATCTCCTTATGAGACCTAGCCATTCTTTTCAACAAAGAGACACAGAATGAAATGATTTGAGCAAGCACTACTGATTCCCATCTTCATAAGGCGTGCTGCCAGAAGATGTCGTAGCTGTAGGATTGAAAGTCTCAAGGAATTCGACACTTCCTTGCTGGAAGAGAAGAGCTTCTGTTGTCAAAGGCTCTGTCCGGACTGGTTTCAACTCCCGCGGCGGAAATACTCGGCTTGACTTTTACAGATCGTGCCAGAACGGTCTCTTTGGGCTGGTATTATGTGATGTCAATGGGAATATTCGGTGTGATATCTACAGATCGTGCCAATCAAGGCTCTCTCTGAGCTGGATCTACATGAAAGCCAGCCTGAATATCCCGCTTGCTACCCATAAATCGTGCCAGATCCGATAGCCTCGTTGCGCAGGACCGCCACTGTTACTTGGCGGCTCGCCTGTAAACAAGTCCTCAAGAGGTAAACGCTAAGCAACGACGCCCTCTGCCTTCAAATCCTTGATCTCACTCTCGTCCATGTTCACGATGTCTCTGAGTATTTCCTCGGTGTGCTGGCCTAGTAGGGGTGGCGGTGTCCGTATACTCGGCTCCGAGTAGGAGTACTTCACTGGTGTGTTTACGAGTTTCATCGGACCGCAGGTGGGATGCTCGATTTCTTTGACCATGTCGCGGGCTAGCACTGCAAGACCATCTGTTAATCCGCAGGTTCCCAGACGAGTTTTGGTTGCATACCGTGCTCATGATTCATAGTCCCCTGGATATCATTCACAGCCGCATAGGGCATACCGCTTTCATCTAGTACCTGCAGCCACTCTGCCGTAGTCTTCTTCGTCGTCTCCGATTCGATCATCGCTTCCAGTGTCTCTCGATTCTTCACACGCGCGCTGTTGGTGTTGAATCTCTCATCTTTTGGCCATCCGGGCTTGCCTAATTTATCGCATAGCACCCCAAAAAGACGGTCGTTGCCCCCACCGAGCAGAATGTCTCCGTCGGCGGTCTTGAAACCTTTGTATGGCACAATAGAGGGATGGGCTGTTCCCCACCGCCCTGAGTCCGGCTGACCGCTGATTAATGCTGAACTTGCCATGTTGGCCAAAGTCGCCACTTGGCAATCACTTAACGCTACGTCGATGTGCTGGCCTTTCCCTGTCCTCATTCGCCCAAGTAAGGCTGCCATTATCGAATTCGAGGTGTACAAACCCGTGGTCAAGTCAGTAACAGCTACTCCCACTTTCACAGGCGGTCCATCTCGAGCGCCAGTAATGTGCATCAAGCCCATTTCCGCTTCAACCATCACATCGTAGCCGGCGCGTTTGCGATAGGGGCCAGTCTGGCCGTAACCTGTAATACTGGCGTAGATAAGAGATGGGTTGATCTTCGATAGCGTGGAATAGTCCATCTGATATTTCTGCAAGGCATCGGGCAGATAATTCTCTACGAGTACATCGCAGTCTTTCACTAGCTTATGCAGAATCGAGACGCCAGACGGAGAGGCGAAAGAAAGTCCAACAGACTTCTTGTTCCGATTTACCTACAATGTTCTAGTCAGCTACCAATATGAAGCCGAATCTCCGGCCTCACTGTAACAGTAAGCGTACCGATAAGAAATAAGCGCTCTCTCCAGGACTATCTTGCTTGTCCCCTCTAATATGTTTTGCGTATGGAGGACCCCATGCTCGAGTGTCATCGCCTCGGATAGGATGCTCAATCTTTATGACTTCTGCCCTATTCAGTTTCATCGTTAGGTATGGCTCAGCAAATCTTGTGGCCGGCCACGTGGGTTCATCATACTGGACTTGACAATGCCTACCCGAGGTCTCCAAGTATTTGCGTGCAATATGGCTTTTCACATCGTTAGCCAAACGAACACAGGTTTGCCTTTACCACACATACGCCCGCCAGGACTCTAGTCATGTCCAGAACCCGAATACCCGCCAACGGCAATGTGAGGGAGTCCGCTGCGGCGGTTGCAAGACCCCTGCAAAGCGAGCAATTCAAGCCATTGAGCCGTATACGAGACTTCAAGTGCCTCGCCAAACCTAATGATGTCCTTGAAGTAGCCATAGTACATCAAAATCAAGATGCTAAGGTGGAGGAAGAGAAAGAGGGAAAAGAAAGCATATCATGTCGTTCAAACGATCAACCCGCCCCGCGAACCTCGGCTTCAGACGCGGAAATGGTTCCGCGATATCATCACCATTCCTCCAGATGCCTTCCTACCTATCTATTTTGTTGCTCTCATAACTCTTGCTGAACAGTTGTGAATCATGTTCACAGGCATAGTCGAAGTCACAGGCAGTAATTTCCCTCTTTTGTCAGCCATTTTATTCTCAGCTAAACTAACGCAGCCAGCCGTCACCCGCCTCGAAAAGCAAGATGACACTGCAGCCGGCGGAGGAGGGACCTCACTGACAATCTCCGATTGCGGGGAGATCCTCACAGATGCCCATTTGGGCGACAGCATCAGTATAAACGGTACGCCAGCTCGCATCCTACCCGATTTTACCGTCTTTCTGTTCCGTCTCAGCCTCGACCTTTCACCCCAACATTCTTCCTCCGCTGATACATTTTCCACACCAGGCACATGCCTAACCATAACCTCCTTCACCCCATCCCAATTCACCGTCGGCGTATCCCCCGAAACCCTCCGCCGCACCAACCTCGGCTCCCTCACCCAATCCTCCCCCGTAAACCTCGAGCGCGCCGTCAGCGCCACAACGCGCATGGGCGGGCATTTCGTGCAGGGACATGTGGATACCATCGCGGAGATCCTCTCCGTAACACCCGACGGCAACAGTTTGGTGTTCCGATTGCAGCCGAGGGAAAAAGAGGTGCTGAGGTATGTGGTGGAAAAGGGGTATGTGACGCTTGATGGGGCGAGTTTGACTGTTACGGCTGTGGATGACAAGGCTGGTTGGTGGGAGGTCATGCTGATTGCTTATACGCAAGAGCGGGTGGTCATGGCTGCGAAAAAAGAGGGGGAGGAGGTGAATGTGGAGGTGGATATGGTTGGGAAGTATGTTGAGAAGAGCGTTAGGGGTTACTTTGAGGGGTTGGAAAAAGAGGGCAGTGGTGGGGGTGTATTGGAGAGGATGGTTGGGAAGATTGTGGACGAGAGAATGAAGAGATGAGGTGAAAGGTATAATTGATTTATGGCAGAACTCTAGTGGAATAGAAAGAAGATATTGGAAGGGCTTGCATGCGGCAAACTCCAGCTTTCTCTAATGTTCTTTCGGTTGTCCACGAAATGCCGCACAATTGTAGGGTATCATGTTTTTTAAAGTACAGCTCCATTGCATCACCCTTCCCTTATGGCTCTTGCTCTTCCAGGCCTACTTGACCCTCGACTTCCGCTTGGTCCTCTTGCGGGGCTCCCATCTCTTCGTCGTCATCGTCGCCGTCGTCGTCGTCTTCCTCATCATCCTGAGCTTCGTTCGCAGTAACAAAGCCACCTCCATTTTCTGCCCCAGCGGATTCGTTCGTCCCCACTTTCACGAGATTAGGGAATAATGGAGGCCTACTCTCCACTGCGTTTACGGGGTTGTCTTCTGCCACCTCCTCATCGACCTCGCTCAACTCGCTTTCGTCATCCGCGCTATCATGTACACTCCCTGGAACGCTGCTTCCTAAATCCCTAACCGGGTCTTCATGTATGACGACGGCTACTACTGGTGAGTTGGGAGCAGGTCTGTCTTGCTCAGAAGCAGGCGCTGGTGCTAACGATTTGAGTGCCTTAGCTGGAACCATAGGAGCGGGCCGTATAGCGATAGCTTCAGCCTTTCTGATGATCTCCCGGGGAGTGACCCGATTGGCTTTGGTCCTCCGCTCCGCACCTTGTTCGCCAGCCTGGTCCGGTGGAGGTGTCTCAGCGGCGTTGTTTGGGGCTGCGAGTATGTTATCCAGTCTCATGCGGACTCTGTTTTCTTCAGCGGTCTCTTTGGCGATGAGTTCGGGTACGAAGGTGTCATAGAGATGTGCATATATGTCTCCAATGAGCTCCTCGAAAGTTCCACTCTTAAAGTAGTTATTGTTCAGTTTTTTGAATTCGATTGCTTCGCGTAGAATTTCGAGGATTGGAGAGTTCGTCATCGTCGAATGTACAGAGACTTCGAGACGAGAGGCGTTAAGCTGAAACGTTTCCGGGTTCATGCCTGTGAATACATCTTCTTGGTAGTGGTCGGGTACTTTGCAGAATGGCTGGTTGCGCAGGAGCTGAATTCATTAGCGCTTCGACGTAAAAAATATCCAGTGCTCGAGCGTACTTTTAGATATGCTTGACAGAGTTCTTGCCATATCCCAGCATGACCAACAAAGTCACCAGCTTTCTTGCGAATTCGCCGTGCCAGCGCCTCTAAGCTAGACTTGTCATTCAATTGATAGAGAAGTCGAACGAAGAATCTGACGTATCGACCAGTATAGACAAAGTGTCTCCCAGCCCGTTCATTGTCAGGTTTCCAAACTTGGATGGCCATGGTCTTTGTGAAGATCTGTTGTGTGATCTCATGCTTTGCATCTAGAGCAGTTTGTGCTTCGTTCGAATTATTATTGTAGATGATGTGAGCCGCCTTGGAACGTGTTAGCCTTCCTCTTGTAGGAGTCCTGAAAATGAAACCTACTCTTGCTACCATACGATGGTGCCAATTTGCCTTATCTGCGGATCTAAGGGCTTTGATAATTTGCAGAATATAGCTTGCCCAATCCTCTGTGTCTTGAACATCCGGGACTTTCCGTGAGTATGGCGTAGCCTTCAAGATCCGGCAACCTTCCTCTACCTACACGCTCATGTTAGCGAGATGAATACAGGACACAGCTGACTCTCCTACCGAAATTTGTCTTGAAAGGCGAAGCTTATAGACCACCGAAACAAGTTTATAATGAGGCTCGAGAATCGGATCTTTGTCAGGGTGCCGACTGTCACGCTTGTCCGGACATGACTCAATAGCTTGTACAAATGCATCGATGACAAATTGATATCCAATGCGCTTAGCGTTACTATAGACGTTGTCGCCATAACTGTGCATCTTCCAAAGCACCTTGCCAAGCATGTAGGAGACTCTGTTGGTCAAATCAGTCAAACGTGAAAGCGTTTAGTACCTGGTTGGACTTACACCCAGTCTTGAGGTTTCTGGATCGAAGCCCGACGAAGTAAAGAACTTGCAAATTTCCAAGCTGAATACAGATTCAGACCTGGGAATTGATGGTTCTCATACATGCCCTGCCCAGCTCTATTGAAAAACCTCATAAAATCGTTCATGTCAAAAGCTCGCATTGAAAATGGCTCTCGAGTTGAGGCGTAGATCCTTGTACCAAAGTCAGCGCAAAGATCAGCCATCTTGCTCGTTCCTTCGAATGACGCGTCTCCGCAACGTGTTCCTACTGCCATAGCCATAGCGTAACAGTGTATAGCCTTTCGTTGCAACACTGCCAGGTCCGCCATGTGATTGTCTAGCTTGTCTGCCGTCCACGTACTGTCTTCTTCAATCATGGCGTCGTATACCTGGGCTAGTCTATACCACGTCTCCCATCTGTCGATATCGAATTCGAGGTCATGCCTGAAAAACGTCCTAGCAATTTCGAGGTCATCCGTTGATCCCACTGGGGAGCGTTTCAGCGAACGAAATTTGGCAAGAGCAATGTGACCGAGCAAGAAGTACCAGCCTTTTGCAGCGATCTCGGACCCCTCGCTACGTGCGGGATTCCCACAAAGGCCGCCAATGCCTCGTAAGGACCGGTACAGATCAACAGGATTGATAGGTGATTTCAGATAATTATTCGCGAGCCGGTGGTTGAAGGTCCTCGCCGTCGCGTTCGTTGTGACCTTGGGTATTTTGATGACTTGCTGCATCTTGTCCACGGCAAATTTGAGGTCGCTCTTCAGTAAGTCCTTGATACTGAGTCTATTGACATGTAGCATGACGGTGTCCATGACTTCCACCGCGGTACGACGGTCGAGCTCCTCAGGAAGACAGCCATGATCTTGCATTTCTGCCGTAGTTGAAGATATTTTCAGACCATAGAGATCAAATACCAACTGAGCCATGTCAGTGTCCCATCCTTCCGCAAGCTTGAATCCCTCAAGCTCGCTTTTCATCAGCTTCAGGAACATCTTGTCTGCGAGGCTGCAGTAGCATCGTAGGCCTAATGTCTGATGGACCCGCTTCAAGTAATGAAGCAGTATCTCATCCGAATTGGTGAACAACCCTGGGCTTTGTTTGTTTGCTTCCTTGAGGAGTATGTACTGTAAGGTCCAGGTTCTGACGATCATGTCACGGAATTTGTCCGTGGACTTGCTCAAGCCTCTGAGGGCAGTCTGGCTCACGGAGGTGGGTACCTGCGTTTTACCAACTCGAATCGTGTCTTCCCATAATGCGAAGACATGCAGGATGTCCCGCAATCTTATTAAAGCCTCCAAGGATACGCGGATATGCTCCACATCTAGAGTCTCGAAAGCGTCGTTGTGGAAAAGTGCGGCTCCTAATATCTTGATCAAGAGATCGTCAAGTTTGTTCAACCAACGGAGCAAGCTGTCATAGCGATTTCCTGGGCTGCTGTCTGTGTAGGATGACGAGGCGAGGTGATCAGTGATGAGCGCAAAACTCCTCAGATTGCAGCAAAGTACCTGGGGCGGATAATGGATTGCTTGATAAGCGTTCCGCAATCTTTGCCAGAGAAACAGTCTTAAAGGCAGGCTCCCTCGGTTTAGGAATTGCAATGCCTCAAGCAATTTGGGATCTGTTGGTACCTCGGACTGTTCCGCGAGCGGGATTTCTGGGTCACCACCTTCAGTGCTCTCAGAGCTGGTTTCGTCCATCGCCTTCACTTGCTGTACTGAGAGATCAAGCAGTGGCTCCAAGCTTTCAATGATGGTTAGTGGATCATTGTTCTCGGAGCTGAAGATGCCCATGAAAAAATCCAACGTCGTAAGTCTCGAGATTTCCTTCTCTGCAGCTTCCACAGAGATCTCAGGCATTATTGCGTTGTTAGGTAGGTCAATGATAAGATCGATCTCATGCTTGAGACGCGTCTTGTTAAGGATACGGATCAGATCTTGAAAGCACAGGATTGTGTGATCGCGTGAAGCTGGTTCAAGGAGGCTGGTGCATACAACAGAAGACCACATGAACCGAATTTCTAGTTCATCTGACGACCAGCCCTCATCATCAGGTAAATTTAGCCATTGATTCATGAGCTTGCTCGAGAATGCAGCCCAGCGACAAAGACGATCGCGTTGCAGAAGCCGCGTCATCGCATCAACTTCGCTGCTAGGGTTGGTGATTCGCCCATAAACATCTAAGTGCAGTTCATAGATAGCCTGCACCAGTTGAACGTGGCTTTTTTTAGACTTGTTGAAGCGTTCTAGTTCCAGCGTATCCTCATAAGCTCGGCTTTGCTGCTCTATCAAGTCAGCCAGACGATTCGTCTGTGAGAATATCGCCTCGTCCTCATTAACAAGCATTTGCACAACGGCTTCTTTGAGAGAATCCGGCCACGAATAAGCCTCGTACAACGACACAAGTTCTGCCTCAAATGTGCCGGGACTCAGAAGACAGGATATCCACTCATAGGAAATCTGGTGTAGGCCCTGCCAGCTCCCGTCGTCAAGGTGTCTTGCAAAGTCATCTAAAGCGTGATCGCCAGGCAAAAGGGCCCGCTTTGGTGAGACTTGAGTTTCCTGACTTGAATGCTCTAAGAACGCCGTGAAGCCTGGATTCTGAGTTCCGCCGATGGGCCCAGCAGAATCTTTGGTATCGTGTCCACTCAAGAATGCTTTGCTCTTCGGCAGGTCCCATTCATCAAGCATCGTCTTCAGATCCTGAGCTGCCGTATTCGGCGACTCCATTGCGCCATTGACTGCTTCATTTGATGCTGTACACTGGTTTGATAAAATTTCACGAAGTACTTTTAATGACCCTGATTCTTGGGACCCAAGCTTTGTCAGCATTCCTTGCACAGTGCCAAAAGCTGGCTCGTCTGCTTCATGATATATCTGCAATTGTTGCTCGTACCACTTGGCCCAATCCTCTGCTGTAGTGTCCTTCAATGAATCGGGGTCTATAGAACCCCGAGCTTTGATTCGCTTGCTTCGCGAACGCCCTATATCTGTGGAGTCGGGTAGCTCGGCTGCTTCAGAAGACCTTTTCCGTGTTGGCAAGGCCACCGGACCAGCTGGTCGGACTGCAAATCCGCCATTCTCTGCACGTCCTTGCGCGAGCGGAAATTCTACAACGTTTTCGTATCCGCGATCTTCAATCTGACTAATTTTGATGGGAGATCCCATAGCTTGCCGAACAACGGAGCCACTCAAGTCAATGGGTCGGGCCTCATTACGTTCTGCTGGTCCCTCCGCCGTTGATACCTCCATTAGCGCATCCACATATTCCGCTTTATCCTCGGTGGGGCTGCGGACAAATGGTTGTCGATCGTGGTCTGCAGTGATATCGCGATTGGGCATTTGTCTGGCCGGTGGCGGGAGGATACTAGCTGAGTTGTTCGATGGAATGGCCAGTGAGTAGCCGGCCCCAGGGACTGGATTGACCAACCCTTGCGCTTCCTGATTGAGTCGAAACAAGATGGCTTTGCCGCAGCTTGCCCAAGTCCTGAGAGGAACTGTGATAACTTGAATCTTCGCAGGGTGCGTAACGCTCTGGGCTGGAAGGCCGATTGCATTGGTGGGCAGATACGGAAAAGGATCGACATTTCGCTTCAACAAGCCCATCAGCTTTCTGTGCTTGTGGGATTTCGCAGTCAGTTGAGATTCCGAAAGCTGGTCATTCAACGATCTTAGTAGAGGCTTCAGCTGCTCTAGAGCGAAGCTCTCTTCAAGACCCAGAGGCTCCGCCCAGGGGTCGAAATCTCCTTCGTCAGTATCTACCACAGACTCCAAGCAGAATCTTGCGATCCGGCGACTGCCTAGGAGCCCAGCAACTCTTGCAACTTGTCGCCACAGCTCCAGATCCGTATCATCTCGGTCTAGAGCCTCGACAAAAAGCTTCAAGCTGAAAGACGCCGTCCCGAAGATTAGCTTCGTAGGAGTCAAATGGTCGTCAGGTCTGATCTCTTGCTCTATACGACTAAGACGGGCTTTCAGTCTATCAAGCTGAAATTGGCCATGGTTTTTGTATGCAAGGTACAAAATCTGCGGGAGACTGCTTGGAGCAACATCTGCGCCTGTGGTTGTGGTCGTAATTGTGGGAAGAAAGTCGTCTTCGGAATTATCTTCCAAGTCCTCAACCGCGCCATAACTCTCAATACGTTGGGCTTCAGAAAGTGATTCTGGGTAAGTAAAAATCTCGGATCGAAACAGCTCGTTGTAGGCATCTTCCGCCTCGCTGTAGAAATCTGGACCCTGGGAATGCAATTTTAAAGCGTTCTGATACAGCTTCAGAGCTTCTTCGATCTGACAGGTTTTAGCCTCGTTGTCACATGGCACTTTGTGCTGTATAGAATACCTGAATTTCTTTGCTGTCGTCAACCTCGTCCTCGCTCTCCGACTCGATCTCGATATTCAAAGGAGCAAAGCTAGCCTATAGAAAGTCAGCAATGACGATGATGTTGTAGCTGCCTTGCAGTAGTAAAGGCATCTGTACCATCTCAAGCGTCCCGCAAGTCGAGTGCTTAAGAGTTAATCTTGTCGGTGCATGCTAATCAAAACTGAGACACTATTGACAAGTTGAGATAGTATCATAGAACAAGCAGCACATAGAACAGAGAATCTGAGGTAGGTGTTGCAAAGCTGGGAATCAAATTGTCAAACACGTCGCGACAAAATGCCAAGAACAGTAAGGTACGGAGTAATCGATGTTTAGCTGCCGTTTCTGCTTAGTAATTACGGCGGACGATGGCTAACACTACGACAAAACTACTTTTTATTTCTAGTAACTCTCTTCAAAATATTCTTTTCAAAATATTCTCAACTCTTCGAGAGATATTTTTTAAGGCACTCTTTAGGGATTACTCTCCGGGGTACTCTCCCAAATACTCTCCGGGGTACTCTTCCGGATACTCTTCGAGGTACTCTTCCGGGTACTCTTCCGAATACTCTCCCGAGTATCTACGACAGATAATTATTACAATCGAATATTTTACAATATTCTTCGCAAAAAAAAAAGGATATGATTATTATTCTATAGAAATTTCCGCGGAACTTCCCGCGAATTCTTTATAAAAAACTTCTTTTTCGCACTTTAAGTGTTTCTTTAGTTAGTTTCATAAAGAAACGCGAAATACTAGGAAATGCGAGATTTTTAAATCCGATAAATTTAACTTAGATGGCTACTACTATCATGACGTGTATAACTATCACTATCACTTATTCAAATAGCCTACTATTATAGTTTACCATAATGATTAATACTACGATATTATAGTCGCCGCCTATAGGCCTAATATAGTAGATATCCCTACCTTGAACTTAGATATAGCCTATTTTTATCTGGCGACACATATATCTAAGTAGTATTCGATACCTCGAAGGTTTCATCGTAGTAATAATAGTAAGGTAAAAGAGGTGAAAGAGGTAAGATAGTAGAAGAAGAGGTAGTAGAAGAAGAGTAGAAGAAGAGATAGTAGAAGAAGAGGTAGTAGAGGTACGATTTTCACGAAGTGGTAGACCGATAAGGCCTAAAAACGATAAATTAAATTCTGCGATATAAAAGCCTTAATAGTAAAAAAGAACCAGATTTTTTCATTCTTATTATGCGGAGTTACTATAGAATTTTAATGAGAAGTAGATATTTAAGTATTGGATCGAACTTATCGAATTTAGAAATTTCGCATTTTCTAGTATTTCGCGTTTTCTTATAAAACTAACTATTTAATTTCTCAAGTAATTCTTTAAGAAACCCTTTAAGTAACCTTTTGAATATTCTCTAAAATATCTCCCTAGAGTAGTTTCGAAAATATATCCTTAAATACTCTCTTATATTCCCCTTAAATACCCCCTAAAGAATCCTCTAAAGTATCTCTCTAAAATATTATCAAAGAACCCTCTTTAAGTATCTCTTTAAAGTCGTGGGAAGAAAAACAAAATTAAGAAAAAAAAATTGGTTTTAGTTTTCTCGTAGTGTCAGCCCTCGTCCGCCGTAGTAATGGGACATCCGGAGAGGACAAATAATAATGTCCTTTCTGCTTCACATCGGCCTGCTGGGCTGTAGAAATGGTTACAATTCGAAGTTGCTTCATATCTTAAGTGCCTCTCCCAGTCATATCCTCATAAGGCGACTACATGGACCATTTTAAACAATAGCTTGGATGGTGAATCTTGAGGACTCTTCCAGGCCCAGTCAAAGTCGTCTCAGGTTCACACGCGCCATGATTGTGCCCGCGGTCCCAGAGTAGGTTCTTGCACTCAATTCGAGCAATGAAGTCCCTAACGACCTATCGGTTAGAATCGTCGAAGAAGAGATTGAGTCCGCAATCGAAAGCCGCAACGAGGCATTGCAGACCATTCGTGAATTAGGTCCCCCAGATCTGGTACACCTAGTCAAGCAGGCGAAGTCGGGAGGGCGCCAGGTATCTAATTGACAGCATTCCTTTGTTGATCTATGTCTTCTGACATTTGATGCAGTTTGGAGTCTACCACCATGTCACTGGGGTAGACGCTTCCTCATCAGCCAGCTTAGCAGCGTACGTAAACACCCTCGTCTATACGCCGCAAGACAAAACACATAAAGTGGTATCTGGACTGTATTGGTGGGTACAGGTTTCGGTTGAATCTTGAGAAATGAAGAGTAACAGCTGCAGCTGCTACAATGCGTTTTCACATCTGGATATGCGGGTGGATGTTAAGATACCGGGTGGAGTGGAGAGTTATTGCATCGACGAGCGGGGCGACAAGCGAGTGGCATCCGAAGGGCTTTGGCTAGAGACCTTCTTGTGCGCTGTGCTCAGAGCGTACTCGTACGCAGATGATGGTAGCGGAGATAGCATCAAAAAGATCATCGGTGTCCGGAGATTCGATCCAATCACTAGCACGGAGGTGGAGCACAAGTTCCTCGATGCTGCCGAAAGACTTTTTTTCAAAGGTGAGTTGGACCACATTGACTGCATATCGCCTGTACTAAAAAGCTCTCACAGGATCACAGCTTGGCTCGGAACCCGAAATTCAAGTGCCCAATGTCGTCTCTAATCATCTCACAACAGGCCTTCTCAATTACATACATACCACAGGAAGATATACATCCGGTATAAACCTCTTCGAAAAGCTTCGGACACGGGATGTGGAAGTCTCGTCACTCCTCGCCCGTGTTCTCATATCCGCGGACGAGGAGGTCCAAGCGGTCAAGCTCCTCCACGATGCCATATCGCAGTTACCTATGGATTACTCCCTTCTCGATTGTCAATCGGCATTCTGCCAAAGCAAGGGTCAGTTAGAGTGGGCGCTGGATTGTGCAAAGCGAAGTGTGACTGCGGCACCTAGCGAGTTTGGTACATGGGCAAAGCTTGCAGAGATCTACGTTGGCCTCGAGCAATGGGACCTCGCACTTCTAACGCTAAATTCATGCCCGATGTTCACATATCAGGACAAAGATGCGCCCCGAATGCCAGAGCCCCAGCGAGTAATCCTACCAGTCATGCCAGAAAGCATGTTAGATGAGATAGACGAATCACAGGAAGCAATCAACAGCGAGCTGGTCCATCCGTCCTTACGAAAGCTGCATGCAGCAGGCTATAAGGGCACATTCCTCAAAGCCTACAGTCTGCTCACAGAAATAACCGCAAAGATCGGATGGGACCAATTGCTCAAGATACGAAGTCACGTCTTTGTGATGGAAGAAGAATACCGGAGCGAGAAGCAGACTGGCGGAAATCAGCAGCCCACCGCGAATCAGAATGCAAGTACCGTCGCTCTACATTCCCCAAGTCCGCGCGTCAATGGGACGACAGACAGCATTGAAAGCCACGACGGCGACTTCTCACTACCAGGTTCAGCGAATACACAAATGACCGAACAAAGTAGCGGGGCCCCCAGCAGTGCCACATTGACGAACGAGTCTATCGAGAAACCTAACCACACCATAACCTCTGAAGAAGTCAAAGCTGGCAACGAAGACGTAAGCCATTAGATTTCGGCGTTTAAGAGCTTGCTAAATAAATCATAGCCTTCTCCCTCTCAACCTCACTACACACAATTCCACAACAAACGACTCTGTGAGCGCTGGCTTGACAATCTCTTCATGGTTCTCTATGAAGACCTACGCATATACACAATCTGGCGGACCGACATGGCACGCTCTAAGACCGAGGAATCATCAGGTGAATACCGCAAATCGGCAGAAGAGTGGGAGATTCTGGGCGAGCTTGCGGAAAGACTTCATCACTTTCCAGAAGCGGTGGAAGCGTATCAGTCGTGCCTGAGGGTCAGGTTTAGCCCGAAGGCGATGAGAGGGGTATTGAGGATGTATGAGGGCCAAGGAAGGGTAGGTGAGGTACTGCAGTGCGTTATACGGCTGGTCGCTTGGCAGTATCGGTGGTACTCCGAGGTATGCCTGATATCGTTCTGTCTGGTTGGTGCTGCTGGGAGTGCTGACCTATGACCGACAGTTCTGTCCGTCCCTCCTCCACACCGTCCGCAAGCTCATCGAAAGCGAAGGCGCGGTCAAAGTTCGCAGTATCGTTCAAGCAACCAGCCTACCGCAATCGGTCTTGGATCTCACGAATGGTTATGTGGAGCGCTGTGCTTCATTTAGGTCGAACGGTAGCGATGGCTGAGAAGTCTGTACGTTTATGTTGTACATCCTCTATCTTGAGCATCTGAGCGTGTACATACCAGCGATCTGCAAGCGCTCTGACTGTATTCGAGCTACTCTGACACGCCTAGTGACCCTTTCAGTTTCCAAGAGGCTCGACCATCACATCGGCCAATCTCTGCCCTTATTCCGTGCAGGCTTTGATGCTTTTGTCGGCTAGAATCTCTAGCGCCACTGATCTTCTGTGGCGAGGCTTAGAGGCACCGCGCATCCTTGTCACCTATAAAATCATCTTCTGGTTTCTTCGTCCTGCAACATCCACCTGTTGTCCATCTTTTCGTCACTCTTATCCAGACCCAAAATTTCACCAACTCCGTCCGTCAGACTGTTCTGACTATGCATGACTTTCTTACAATACAGCCTCGCCGATCCAGCAAGCCCCCTATTGACATGCAAGACCATGAACGGATTCCCATCATCATCTCTCACATTCTCATCTTCTACCATCTCGCCTCCCGTCTCGTCCTCTCTGGAGATCGCATCCTGCATCGTAACACTCACACTCTGCACGCGCTCCGCCTCATCGGCCGCATCCGCTGTCTCATCTGCGCACTCTCCAAAACCCGTAAAAATGGAGGCGGATGGGTAATATAGACATTCCAGATGGATCGATTTGCCGTCCCAGTTGAGGCGGGCTGCACACGGAATCACAAAACCATCTTCTGCTGCTGCTGCGTCTTCATCATCGGCTTTGGGGGTGTTGCCCCCAGACACCGGACCTATGATCTGGATGAGGTCTGAGGGCTTTGGAGTAAGCCAGTCTGTGTTGCTGGGTTTGATGCGGACGATCTGGTATGTCACATCCACACTGGTTGGAGTTGGGGAAAAGGGTCTTGACGGGGCCTTTGTGCCGGGAGATGGTGTGTAAATTGCTGAATTGCATGCTCGTCTAGGTGGGGTGGTGGGAGGCGTTATTGACATCACTTCCTTTCGATGGACCGCGCTGATGTCTCTCTGTCTGTGCAATAGGATGAATGCAGAAGTAAGATGGAGTGTACGACCCACGAGATATGTTGGAGAGAATAAAGCAAAAATGACGCACACGGGCTAAGCGTGGGCAGACTGTGTTAAGGAAATGAAACGTTGCCTTACGGGTACGGATTGGTATGGATTGTGGGCAGCAAAGCATCAAAACTCTGTGGGTTATATCTGGAACAAAGTCGTGCGATTCTGCTTCTATGGTTCAGATAGCAATGCAAATCAACGGCGTGTTTTCCGGAAAAAACCACCCCCAGACTGGAAACACAAAACTCCCACGTCCGTGCGTTTCAGCAGTGTCCATCAATGTGTTTCATCTCTTGCTCCTGCACGCTCGATGCCATGTGGGTCGCCACAGCGCTAACGCACGGAGGTCGTCGCCGCACTCCTGGGGGGATGACTGTAAGCCCCAATATCGGAAAGGCCCTGAAGTTTTGGAAACGAAGCAATTCTGACACACGTGACCGTCGGAGAATCCGCGACCTCTTGGGCAACTTCTCTCCGTCATTTATCCTCAGAAGCTTCCGGCGGCATCATTCAATTTACCACACATTTGCTCCATGTGCCATTGCTGTTGGAACAAACGCCGGAAGCCTTGGAGTCGCCGAATCACGTTGCCCACAGCTTGTGTAACTTTGCAGACCTATAGTCGAGATCTTCACTGGCCATCAGCAACGTTTTCATCAACGCGAGCTTCGCTTTGTACTTATTACACTGCCCTGGTACGGTGACGACTATGGGTCTCAATCGAGGACCAATCGGACCCTGGGTCGTGCGAGACATCTGTCTTACCGCTCAAGCTATCCTTGCCGGCATAGTTGTCGAACTAGAAGACTCTGAACTCGCCAGATGGGCTTTGAGATTGCGACTTTGGGGGACAGAGCTTTTCGGAGCGGTAAGTTTGGACATGACTTTTGAACATGATAATGACGGCCTCCGGCCTGTGCGGCAACGCGTTCTGAGGATCTTCGTAGACATTCTGGTTTGGGAGCGTTTGTTTCGGCCCTTTGCTACAGCTCCTGGGGTGCACCGCTGGCCCTTCTCTACCAGAACAATGAACTGAGCAAACAGAGCGAGATTTTGAGAGAACGATACACCGAGAGAGTCGCAAACTTGCTGAAAATAGAAGAGCTAAGGGCATTGGAAAAAAAGGGAGGACAGTGTCGAGCAAGATGAGGTTGTCGAAACCATTCCCGCAAGCACAACTCACCGTCCTATTCCTAGTCTGGTGGAGATGCTGTCTGACCTTCTACCCGCCCTGAGGGCTGCTAATCGAGCGCGCTGTGTCGGCCAAGGTGATGGATCACTCTCGTATAATGAGCAATATTTCGCCAATGCAAATGGACAGCTCAACGATGCAGATGAGATACTGAAAAAGGTTGACGAGGCTGCCAAGGAGAAGGAGGGGCCTACCTACACTCTGAGGCTCCAACAGGAAAGAGAGTGCCTGGAACGCGTCCACCTGGACTGCAAGAGCGGAAGGGATATTGATGGAGAAGTCTTGAAGGAGATACCATGGGAACAGATCGAGCTTGACGTGAACCTTTGTGAGCATCGCAGCCTGTCGCATCGGTGGTCCGTCTGGTGTTACTGACCATCCTAGCTTTGTTCCTTGCCAGGAGCAACGACGCCGCACTTCGCCTCAAGAGACCGAAATTCAAGAACAAAGTCCGAAGGGAGGATCATCAGGACAGAGAGCGCGCTGAGATTCTCATCTCCATCCTGCGCGACACAGACAGAGGTTTGAAGGACCTCTTGCACGGAAATGGTCAGATAGTGAAAGGCTCCGAGTCACCACCCAGGCATATCTTGCGTTATTTATTGATACCTCGAGGTTTCCGGGCTAGTAATCTCAGATCGCTTGCGTCCTCACCTGCAGAGGATGATGAGGATTCAACTGGTGCGGGAGAAAAAGGAGACATTGGGATAGCGAAGGCCATCGTCGAGTCTTCAGACCTCTTCCATCTGGCGTTCCGCATCATATATTGGTAGCCATAACCACCTACACGTTCTTCAAGCAAACCCCAATGATAGCAGCAGCCGTAATAACGTCACTCGCATATGGTGCTACTCCATACGTCTCATAGACTTCCTGCGCCGTCAACACATAGAAAGAGTTCCCTACGCAGCAACTTCGCCAAACTCTTGATTGTCCTGCCAGTCGCCTCCCCTGCCATACAGCCTGCGAACCGCGCGGCAGTTCCCTACGGATTCAATCTGTTGAGGCTATGTTCACAGTTCCGCTCCCTAGACTCGCAATTAGATCCACACTGACGTTCTTGCCTCCTCCAATCAGGCTGACTGATGGTGGATCATGCGGATCGACAAAGCTGCAGGAACACGTGGCCAAGCAATCAGCTGAGTACCAACTGTGGAGAACTCTCGAGAAGAAAAGGTATCCGAAGTTATTGCAGACGATGGACCCGGAAACACATTTGCAGCCGGCGCGGGAACAGAGACCTTCGCGTGCGAAGATGTATTCTTGTTCGCCCCAGCGATCGGTGTAGGTGAGTGCGGTGGGAGCTTGGCTTTCGACGTCGATGTGGGTGGCTTTCATGAAGATTGGGGCTTCGGGGTAAGGCGGTAAGGGTAGGGGACCGGGACAGTCGAGGAACTGGAATGAGGATTAACGGTGCGCAGATAGAACAGGGGAAGGTCGTGGAAGAGAGAGAGGGCGTACTTCGACAGTTCGCTTGGAGAGAGTGAGGGATAATTGACGGTGGGTTTCGAGGGGTAATGCTGAGGTTGAGGAAAAGAAGTGATGATGAAGAAGTATGCCAAGTAATGACAATGAGTTCAGACGCAGCATGGTACCAGTCCCTTCAAATCTTGCTTATCGACCTTCATGTCAACTTCAAATAGTAATCCCCGCACCGGTATGCGGGGCATTGTGACATGAATATGCGAACACGGTGTATATGTTAGATTTAGAAGCGATACGCGCATGCGTGCCGTCTTGACGTGGTGTCAACCAAAGTATGCGGCTAAAATCACCGAAAAGCTGCGTGGGGGCGCATGATCTTGCACTGCGTGGGATCCGGACTTTATGTATCATATCTTGCGTGATGGGGTTTGCCATTGCCATTCAACGCTTGGGCCTCTAGCTTAGGCGTTGCCTACCGGCCGAGAGCAGTTGTGGTCTTCTCGGAAGAGAAATGATTTGGCGACTATTGACTTTGACAAGCCGGCAATTGAGATTCCTATTCATAGCGTGACCAGGTCTTTCCGGGGCGAGTCCAAGGTCTGTCAGCTGTCTCCTGGTGCGGCACTGCTATGGTATGGCGGAGCGATGAAGAAGCATGTGGCCTGAAGATATATTCCCACACAAAAGGGTCCAACCCACCATATCCACTGGTCTAATTATACGTACAGGGACTCTTCGTCAGCTAGTCTTCAAAGCCACCTACCATTTCCGTATATGTACGAGGGAGGTCTCGTCTTGCTGCTTCAAGAGCAAAACATCGCGCCGGGTTCAGTGAGGCTCTGGCCTCCGTATTCCGTCTTATGAGTAAGAATGTCAGTATCTTAACTGCGAGATTTCGGGATTCTCGAACGCAGCTTCTTGTCGTTGACGACCATACCCAGTTTACATAGCATTCTGCGTCGGTTTCTGTAATAAATTCCCGGATTCTTTTATGATAACAGACCACGGCGGTAGAAGTTCGCAAAGGAACACTCTTTTCCCAACTTATACATATTGCTTCATGGAACTCACCAAATCATGCGACTGCAAGTCATTTTGGACTCTAACCTTGAGAAATACGAGACCGTCCGATTTATAAAGGCTCTTGCTCGAGAACACTTTGCCAAGAGCCTCGGTCGCAAAAATAGTCGAGTCGGTAGTCATGATATTAATCGGCATATTTCGCATTGCAATCGGTCATTTTTACTGTCACAAGTCGGTGGCAAGTTGTGGTTGATGATGAGAGGTAAATCTCTTCCCTTAAAGCTGGGCTGGTGGTGGGGTGGGAAAAAGTAAGTCGTGAAATTCATCACTGGTCAAACCTGCGTTCATACTATTGATTCAGGAAACTTACCGTACACTCAGTGGGATAGAGTCGAAAATCATGTAAAAAGAAATATTGAGATCAAATCTTACTTTATATCGTCGACTGTTTATATAAAAGTTGATAGAAAAACATTTTGTAGTGCATTTGCATTTTGGTTAAAGTGGATTCGAACCCAGCTCCGCCTCCCTACGTCGATCATTCGGGCTAAATCTCGGGAAAATGTTGTGAGTCAAAACCCCGCGCCCAGTCCACCACAGGACCAGCGTTGCGAAAATATTCCAACAATATCATCACCATACCCACAATTCTCACAACCTCCTGCTCCGTTCGAATAAGCGATAGGTCGAACATCCTTGATGCCAATCTTGGGGTTTCGAGGCCAAATGCATTGTTGATGAACAACACCACCCAGCCACTTGCTGAAACAATCCTCTCCCAGTTTCTCAATGGGCTATCAGATTCACCCCGAGCCTTCACACCTTCATCCTGCCATGCAATTGGCACCGTAACTCAACTTTAGCAGATACGACCTCATGTCAACAGCAGTCCCCATCAAGAAGCCGCCAAGGCGGCCCCAGAGGCCGGTGGCGAGGCTGGACAGTATCAAAAACCCTCAGCCTCGTCCACCTCCGGGGCCTAAAAGATTTCAATCTCAAGAATGTCCTAATCCAGATTGTAATGAGAAAAAGGGGGTCGAAGAAGACGGCAAGCTAATTTGCAGTGCATGCGGATCTGTGATTGATGAGCTGTCCATGGTCTCCGAAGTCACCTACGGTCTTGCAACCGGCGGTCAACATGTTGTCCATGGTTTCCACGTTGGTGCTGATCAAGCGTTTGCAAGTAGAGGAGACGTCGTCGACAAGACGAGAGCCGCCACCAGCCAAGATCTGACGGCACAATATGGTGAGTAACTTCCGCACATCTGTCAGACATACTAGCTGAACCAATCTTCAGGCCACAACCACATTGTCAGAATCGGTACAACATTGCAGATGAATGCCCAGATCAGAGACCACGCCATGCAGATCTACCAGTTGGCCATTGGTCCCTGCGGTTTCATTCAAGGTCGTAGGATTAAGAGTGTTGCTGCAGTCGCTCTATATATTGCCTGCCGAGTTCAGACCCACCCTAACACCTTCATGCTGATTGATTTCTCGGATATTTTGGGGGTGAGAAAGTCCCCCTCACTCCGGACTTGGGACTAACCATCGAACAGCTCAACGTCTTCAACCTTGGTCATGTGTATACCAAGTATCTTCAATTTCTTGCTCTCAATGGCAATGGCTTTATCGTCCAGCCAATCAATCCTGAAGACCTTATTCTTCGTTTCGCTCAGCGTCTCGAATTTGGATCTGAAACCATGCGTGTCGCTAATGACGCGGTTCGTATCGTCCAACGTATGAATCGTGACTGGATGACTCCTGGTCGTAGGCCAGCCGGTGTCTGTGGGGCTGCCTTGATATTGGCCTCACGCATGAACAATTTCCGTCGAAGCGTTCGAGAAGTGGTTTTTGTGGTCAAAGTGCAGGAGCAGACCATTTTCAACCGCCTCGACGAATTCAAGGCTACCGAGAGCGGTGCATTGACTGTTGAAGAGTTTCGAACTATCGATCTTGAGCGTACAGCTGACCCACCAGCATTCACACAGGACAACGATGGTAAGAAGAAGCGCGGTCGAAAACCGAAGCAGATCGACGCCAATTTTGGCGATGATGGGGATGGAGTCGAACCAACAGTGATTTCGTCAAGAGCAACATCCACTTGCCCATCGGAAACCAACGGCCAATCAAACACTCCAGCAAACACGCAAAACCAAGCTCAGCTTGACAGCCAAAGCATGCCACCTCCACCGTTGCCCATCGATCCCAGTCTACTCGCAGCATCTCCTCAGCGTTCTTCCCAAAAAGACTCGTCTCCGGCACCAGGAAATGTGACCTCTACCCTTGAAGGGTCTGCAGTTGAAATCTCTGGAGTCAAAGCAACGACCGAAACTCCAGCTAAACGCAAAAGAGGGCGCCCAGCAGGAGCTACGAACCTGAAAACGCCCCCAGCTAGTCAAGCCTCCGACAACTCATCCTTAAATGCCAACGATCCGTTACTTGGCTCTGATATTACTGCTGCACTTACAAACCCTATGGACCTTGACCATGCCACGGCTCTCACCTCAGCCCTCGAATCCGCAGCTGATCCACCCTCTCCTCCAGCAACCCAGCAAAAGCTTCCCTTCAAGTCTCGCTTCCCCATCCCGGACACAGAAATGATCTCCGACAGCGAATTTGCGGATGATCCCGAAGTGTCCAATTGCCTCCTAACGCCTTCCGAGGTTGCTATCAAAACCCGTATCTGGACGCACGAAAACCGAGACTACCTGCGTGCTCAATGCGCCAAGATCCTCAAACAACAACTCGCCGAGGAGAGTGGCACTGCTCGAGTCATTATCCGTCGGCGACGACGCAAAAAGCGAATAGGCGATATGACTGCGTATATCGGAGAAGATGGGCAAGAGGGAATGCCTGTGGCGGGCAGTCCCCAGGAGGCAGTCATGAAAATGATGGGAAAGCGTGGATTCAGTAAGAAAATTAATTATGGAAATATTGCGAATACCTATGGGGGCAGCTCGAGCAGTACGAGTAGGAGAGGGAGTGATGCGATCTTGGCTGGCAGTCCTGGGAGTGGAGTGGAGATGTCGGGGGCGTTGCAGGTTGCGAGCCCTGGGAGCAAGAACGGAGCCGTTGATGCTGAAAAGGAGGAGGGCGGGGATGGTGAAGAAGATGCTGGTGAGGGTGGAGGGACTGCCAATCCAGACGAGCAGAAGGCGCTTGACAGTATCGCAGGGGAGTTGGAAGAGGAAGGGATTAATGAAAGCAGTGATGAAGCGGACGATGAAGATCCTTATGGCAACGACGAGGGCAATGTGGTCTACGATTCTGATTGAGACAATCATCTTGGAAGAGTATTACGCATAGATGGAAGCATTCCGCATAGCGAGTTGGCTCTATCTGCTGAGCTTTTTAGGCACAGCAACCAAATAGAGCGATGCATATGAATTTAGACTGGTACATCAGAGCTAGGGGCGCCTGAGAGCAGTCTGTCCTCGGAAGTCAGTCGCTAGACATTCCCCTGTCTCCTACTCGATATCACTTCTTCATGTTAAAGACCAGAAGTTCCTTTCGCTCAGCGTAACAGTCAAACCTGCTTTGAGAGTACAATACCCTTCCCCTTTCCCATACTCTGACCTCCCTACGTCTATACTCGCACTCTCACACCTATCTTCCCCACCCAAAGAACCCTTTCTACCAAGCAAAACGCAATCTCACCACAGATCCCATCCATCCCTCATCCTCAAAGCCCGACCGACTCCCTCAGGATCCATCGAACCCGACGGAGGGGCAGATGGCCAGATCACAAAGGATGGCTCGAGCCACGGGTTCGAGGGCAGGGATGGGGGAGGATGCTGGTGACGAAGAGGAGGATTCGGCAGGGGTGTAGGTATACGAGAATGGGAATGGGAACGAGGAGGGATCGGGATCGGGATCGGGAGTTGGGGGTTGGAAGTGGCACGGGGCTGGCAAGGAGTACTACCTATAAGGGTTCGGTAGGGCTGATGGGTCCGAGGGGTTTGGGGTGGGAGAGGGATGTGGATGGGTTGATTGATTGGTAGGAAGGCGGTTGGACGATTGGTGTTTTGGACGGGTCGGATGGATAATCGGTTGAGGTATTCACGGTAGGAGAGGCTTGGCGTACAATCTGTCCTCGTTGATTCCTTTGATGGCGGGAGTCCTCACTCGCATCATCTCCT